TGATAATGGCTTTATATTCTGAAAATCTATGTAATATGATTTGATTCCTCCACTGAAAAGTGATATTTTAAAAGTGACTGACCCCACAAATGTCACAATGAGAAACGTACGCATATGACTGTACATATAGGATACAATTGCTATTCAAGGCCACAGTCAGGAGTTTGCATTCTGGTGTACAATCAATCCCACAGTATAGTTCTTCTAGTTACTTCACTCATAAAAACAACTGTTCTCCCGAGGCAAACTAGAGGCATTAATTGTCTGAATTGTAAAATGTACAAGCCCAGTATTAAGTCTAGTTCTGTATGTGTTTGGCTATTGGTTCTAGAATACAGCGCTCTGTTTGTGTGTTTAAATAGAGAAATGTGACCCAGCTTCCTCATTTTGTGCCATCTGGCCCTTCTGGAAACCCTGTGGCAGCACGGCTTCACTTTCACTGTGCATTTTATTTTTTCCAAGAACATGTAATCTGTACCTATTCCAAATGGAATGAAGTATTCCTTCCTCAGAAGTCGTCCCTGTTCGTCTAGAAAGCGTGAAGGATTGAAGTCGTCTGGATTCTCCCACACAGTGGGATCTCTATGGACCGACCAGAGGTTGGGGATGATAACTGTGCCCTTAGGAATTGTATACCCTCGAAATTCTGTGAAAAGAACATTTTAGCTTACAAAGCTGTTTTTTTCATTTTCTCTTCCCATGCTTCCCATCGCAGCCGAAACATGGTTTTGGTTCTGAAGATGGAAAACAAACATATCATGTGAGGATCACAAGACTGAACTGATTTAGAGAACTGGCATTTTTTCCCAGCTAGAAAAACATCTTGTCTGTTTTCACTTCTTGACCTGTGGTCTTGGAAGCCATGTGAGGTATGGACAGTGGCACCACTACAGTCATTCTCTGGACCTCCATTATAGTGGCCTCGGAGTACGGTAGAGTTCCCTTATCTGTCAGAGATGGAAGTCTCTCAGATCCCACCACGGCATTGATCTCCTGCTGAACTTTCTCTGTGAGGTCAAAGGAACAACAGTATTTCATGTGATTGCTTAGGCTGACCCTGCAAAACAAACAATGTGTTTTCATCTCTTGTTCTTCTGTGATGACACAGAGCTGCATTTGAAGCTACTGGAATATGTGTTTGCGTACATACCTTGTACTTCAGGATATAAGCACATATATAGCACCATCCACAGTATGCTATTAGTGGTAGTATCAGTTCCTGCAATGAATAGGTCCCCTATTATGTAGAAGAGATATTCCTCTGAGAACCCACTTTCTTCTGACCCTGTTGCTTCTTGCTGGGCCAACAGCTCCACCAGATAGATGTCTATAAAATCTCTGGGGTTTTCAGGGTCCAGAGTGGCTCTGTGTTGGGCTATGATCTTCTTAAGGAAAGCTGTGATGTCCTTCTCCACTCGGCGAAGCTGCTTGAAGACGCCAAAGGGTAAGTAGTAGAGCCACGGAAAGATGTTGATGAGAACTGCCGGGCTGTTGACGCTGATCTCCAGTCCGTGGGCCATGAGGTCCAGCTGAGTACGGAACTCCTCGTCCTGGTGGTGGAAGCGCCGGCCCAGGCTGATGGACGAGATGACGTTGGACACAGCGTTGCTGATAAAGGGAGTCAGATCCACGCCAGATCCTGCTGCTTCTTGATTTCGCCTCAGTACCTCAGCCTTGACCATGGCGAAGCCCTCGTGTATACAAGGCTCCAGGCTCAGCTTGCCAAGACCAAAGTTTCGGAGAGTTGTGTGGCAGAACCTCCGCTGCTTTCGCCAGACTGGGCCATAAGGTGCAAACACAATGCCTGGAGACCAAATAATGCTTTTTATAGACAATGCTTTGGCATGACTGTTTACTGCAGGAATGTTTAATTGTGGTTCTAGAGGGCCTCAGTCCAGCACCGCTGTGATTTCCCTGCTCAAATAGAACTCATATGTCAACTGCCAGGGAAATTACCAAAGTGTGCTGGACACTGAACCTCCAGGACCAGAACTCAATATGTACACAGCGTAAGTTGCAAATCAAGAGTTTTGAGTTTTGAATTTGGTGTATTATGGTAGTGGTTTGACAGGCAGAGCTGTTTCTTATATTGTGTCCACCCTAAAGAACATCCTATTTTAGGGGCCCCCAACCCAATACGAAAAAAGTAATTCAAACTAACACCAATACATAAATGTATTTTAATCAGGAAAATCATTAATTAATGCTAATGTAAACACAATTAAATGATCTATAAATAGGTAAAAAAAGGTCCAATTGTTTGAATTAAACTGTCTATATAAATAAAATTAATTAAAAAACCTTAGTCATTAGCATTATAATAATAAAACAATAGCAATACTAGAAATAATATCTGCAACAAAATAATAATAATAATAATAATAATAATAATAATAATAAACATACATGAACCATAAGGGGCCCCTAAACAATTGTTTATACTGCTTACAGTAAAATCTGGCCTTGCTGGGTTAAACGTCTGAACAATTATCCTCTATATAGAACTATTTCATGCTTAAATGGTTCTTAGAATGGTGAAACTGTTCTTCCGATTGGTGGAGAACATGTTGAATATGGTTCTACATAGAGCCAAAGCACCAGAGCACCAAAAAGCTTAAAAATAGCAGAACCATTTTTCGTGCTAGACCATATAGAACCATTTAAAAAAAAATCTATTTAGAACCATATACAGCACATTCTGCATCAATCTAAAGAACCATTTCACCACGCTAAGAACCATTTAAGCATGAAATGGTTTGATACAGAACTCATGGTTCTGAAGAACCCTGAAGAACCATCTTTTTTAAGAGAGTACTGTACTGCAATGCCATTTGCTCTTGGAGCTGGTAAAGGCAGATAGGCTCCTCATGGTGCCACACTTAAACATGCATGACTGGACTCCTCTCACCTTTCCGCTTGGTCAGCATAGAAATGAGAGGAATGTCCGGTCTGTCGGAGAAAACCTCCGCATAGTTGGTCATGGCGTCTCGAATGATCTCGTAGCCCGTCAGAACCACAATCAGCTGACTCCCCACGAAGATGCTGTACAAGTTCCCGTACAGCCTGGACAGTTGCATCAGGCCCACCTGTGGCGACAGCGGGTTAGCTTTGCTCCTCTCATATTCACCATGACGGGCAAAAAGTTTTTTAATAAAGGGGGGCACGAATAAGCCCCCGAAGTTGCCGACGATGGGCAGCGGTGTTGGACCTGGAGGGATGTTCAGGAAGCGCTGGGTGCGGCTGTAGTGCCTCAGCAGGCAGAACACCACGAGAAAAACGGTCACGGCGGCGATGTTGACGGAAGAGAGTGGCGAGAGCCGGACCTCCTGCCATAGCTGACGGAGTCCGGTTTCCATCCCAGAGTTACTGATCAAAGCTGACCCGAACACGAGCTGCGAGTGAAGCGGAGCTCCGGCTGCAGCTCTGGAACTCTAGCTGTGTGTTCCGCTGATCACATTCATGTCCCTGTCGAGCTGCCGTTGTTGTTGTGGTTTTTGGGACGTGGCCGTCTCAGCGGCTTCTCATTGGCTGATATTAGCGGAGTCTTATTGGACGGTTGGTTAAGTTTATAGGAAGTGGGCGGGCACAAAACGAGCGTGGTCCAACCAGCTGCGCCGTCGACGCGTGTTTAGTTTGAGATATACGAGAATATACGAGTTACGAGTTTATTCTAAAATGCTGTAAATCCATATGCGGGGTTGGGATGTAACGGAATGAGAATACGCATTCAGAATACAGAAATGAAGCACCTGTATTCAGTCCAAGTTACATTTTGTAAAATCAGTATTCAGAATACAGTCACCTTTTATATTGTAGAATAATTTTAGAATACTTACGTGCTAAATAAAGGTAAATAAATAAACTATTTCAAAATCAGCACATGGCATGTAGCAACCATCATTTAAGGACCTATATTAATGGCTTCTGTACAAATACTGAAGTTCCTGCTAAAGCCTGAGTAGACTGATAAATCAATATGATGATCAGTTATAAATCTCAGTGTTACTGAGCTCTGCTAAAGCCTGAGTAGACTGATAAATCAGTGTGAAGATCAATGATTAATCTCAGTGTTACTGAGCTCTGCTAAAGCCTGAGTAGACTGATAAATCAATGTGATGATCAGTTATAAATCTCAGTGTTACTGAGCTCTGCTAAAGCTGAGTACTGATAAATCATGTGAAGATCATGATTAATCTCAGTGTTACTCAGCTCTGCTACTGAGTAGACTGAAACAGGCAGTTATAAATCTCAGTAGACTGTGAGCTGATCAGTGTGATGTTATAAATCTCAGTGTTACTGAGCTGCACTAAAGCCTGAGTAGATTGATAAATCAGTGTGATGATCAATAATTACTCTCAGTGTTACTGAGCTCTGCTAAAGCCTGAGTAGATTGATAAATCAATGTGATGATTAGTTATTAATCTCAGTGTTACTGAGCTCTGCTAAAGCCTGAGTAGATTGATAAATCAGTGTGATGATCAATAATTACTCTCAGTGTTACTGAGCTCTGCTAAAGCCTGAGTAGATTGATAAATCAATGTGATGATTAGTTATTAATCTCAGTGTTACTGAGCTCTGCTAAAGCCTGAGTAGATTGATAAATCAATGTGATGATCAGTTATAAATCTCAGTGTTACTGAGCTGCACTAAAGCCTGAATAGACTGATAAATCAATGTGATGATTAGTTATTAATCTCAGTGTTACTGAGCTCTATGGAGAGATGATCAAACTAACAACCTACTCAGTAGTGGACATGTTTGCAAATGATAAGCTAAGCATTGGTGTTGTGTTTTATGTATTATGTCTGTTAAATAATTTATCCTGAGTATCATATGTGTACATTAGTATTTATCCTATGTGTCATATGTTATTACGAACATGATCAGTAATTTTCTTGTTAACACTTAGATCATGTCTAGACTGTTCTATTAGGACTGAGTTGATACTTCACGTCAATTCCAGTCCTGGAGGCCCACTGTCCTGAGCAGGATTGGGAAACCCTGCTTATGTGAATTGAAAAAAAGTGCAGTCTCTGATTTGTCAAACATTTAATGTTAACTTTTGTATTAAAAAAAAAGAACAGAAATTGATAAATAATAAAAAGAAAGAAACACTGCATGCATTAGAAAGGCACATTTGCGACAGTACAAAAAAAAACCCTTTTGGATTCAAATTTGTAATAGCAAAAAGAAGATGTGAAACAAACTAACCAAAACAATTTAATCTAATTCATCTAATTAAACAGGTCAACATGTGGGAAAAACATGAAAACTATTTGCTCAACAGAACTGACTGAAGAATACTATTCATATAAGTTCTTGGATATTCATCTATAAAAACAGTAACTGGTCATGTTACATTAAAGTTTGCATATTTTTACCCATTTAAAAAACAGACTAAACATATTTTCCTCTCTTTAATTCTGCTTAAACCTGAGCCAGTGATTATCTCACAACCTCTTTGGTATGATCTATGTACATTTCAGGCAGCCATGAATACAGTGTCATCGTCATGGCATTAAAAAAAAGCACAGTTCTGGTAAAATATGTGATGCTGTCACTCCTCCCGTACGCTGTTCACCATGGAGTACTTCTTGCAGGGGTTCTTCAGGCAGGCCGGGGGCCATGTGACAGGCCAGCAGAAAGAGCAAGGCACTTGGGACTGGACATTGCGCTCGAGGAAGTTAAAGATGGGGTTCCACCAGGTGTGGGTGAGGTAGTTGGGTGAGTTCCGCAGAACCTGTGAAGAGCAGAGGATTTAGGCCACTGAACTGGAGCTGCTTCCAAGAGACAGCAAATAAAAGCTTTTAGGGAGCCAGGGGAGATACATCTGATGCCAAGATAAACTCTGTCCACTTGTGTTTTTGTTTAAAGAAGCACCGGCTGTGAGTGACCCAATGAAATTTAAAGAGACAACACAACACATTTGTGCAATCTAGCAAACTGATAAATGAAATAAAAATGTACCCTCGTTCACTGATATTATGCCAAAGAGCAGAATATTGTTACAGGGTTATTCCTACCAATGCTGCATTAAAGTGATGCTGTGGAGGAAAATTAAGCTTACAGTTTTAACCTTCCAAATACAGATGATCCGTCAAGACATGTTTGACTGTGGAATTTTCCTTGATTCTCCTACACCAGGGGTCGGCAACACGTGGCCCCGGAGCTGCATGCAGCGCTTCTACTGCCCTGTTGCAGCTTCACAGCAGAATTAGATTTTTTGGTAATAATGAAGGATCCTTCTTTGCAGTAAAATAAAGCTCTGCTGGTCATTCTAACACAGTTTTAGGAATAAATGGTCTTAAATGTTGGAGTTAACGTAGCCTGTAACTGCTAATTCGCCAACTTTTGACCCTGAAAATTGGCATGTAGACTGCTCACTGTCACCATGGTAACACAATCTTGCGAGACACTGAGAAAGTTGAGAGAAAATTTACAAGAAACATTTTGCAGAAATATAACACCTAGCAGGACCCCTTTCCCACCTACAGCTATAAAAACACTGCAGAAACATGCCTAAGTAAATTCATGTCACCAAAACATCAACACTAGTGTTCATGCAAGTGGAATACATTGTCAGACACATCACAGTCACCTCAGAAACACTAACAATTGTCGATATTAAGGAAAATCTATGTTGTCAAGAGTTATTCTCTCTATTGTTTCATTTTCTAATGGGTTGATCATTCTTTTTTTCTTTTCTTTAACAAACACATTGCATTACTCTTACACACCCTTACAGCCATTTTTTACGTAGTCCCTCCATTTTCACAGGCTCAGGAGAAATTGGACAAACTAACATAATTATAAATACAAGGATTATTTTTAATACTTAGATGCAAATACTTTGCAGTCAATGACTGCCTGAAGTCTGGAACCCATGGACATCACCGAATGCTGAGTTTCCTCCCTTGAGCTGCTTTGCCAGGCCTTTACTGCAGCCACCTTCAGCTACTGCTTGTTTGGGGATCTTTCTGCTTTCAGTTTCAGTTTCAGCTTCAGTAAGTGAAAAGCATGCTCAGTTGGGTTGAGGTCAGGTGACTGACTTGGTCATGCAATATTTTTGGTAAACCCCTTGAATTAAAGATGAAAGTCTACAGTTCAGTCTCATCTTGATGGCTTCATTTCAAACTGTGACCACAACTGTCCAAATACTTATGGATCTAACTGTATTTAGTTGAATAAAACCAGTTAAATTGCTTATTACCACATTTTTTAACACACCACCAACACATCAGTGTCACTGCAGTGCTGTGGTGGTCCTGTGGGGGCCCTGACCATTGAAGAAAAGAGTAAAAGGGGACTAACCAAGTATGCGGAGAAACAGACAGACTACAGTCTGTAATAGTGGAACTACAAAGTGACCTATATGGTAAATAAAATGGACAATGAGTGCTTTTAATGTTTAATCTCAATGTTACTAAAGAAAAATAATTGCATAGTTCAGCTGAGGGACATCAGCATTTTATAAACTACTGTGAATAAATAATCATGTAATATCAAATAGATTTGTTTGCATGGTTTCTGACATTGCAGGACAAACTGTTATTAATGTAAACAGAAAAAAGTATCAACACAATTTACCCTTTAAGACAGCTGACACTAATTACATCATGTCCTATTTTAATTTAACAAAGCCATCAACTTTAAAAAGAAGAGATCATATTTACTTAAGACCACCAGGGGGCATAAATCCCCAGCTGTAGATGAGAAACTCAACCCTATACTGTTCTCTGCATGAATCAGTCACAATCTGTTCTCATCATTTGGTCCTGTTTTTTCCCCTCTCTCTAAATGATTTGTATCGGCGTACAGCACTGAGGGCGCACTCTGAGGCCATCAGGGAGTCGTATCTCATAAGCCCTCTCTAATGGATGAGAGTCCACCCCGAACCATGTAAACACTTTCAGTAGGAGGCTCAGTGCCATTTTTAATGCTCTGTCTTTCATCACTTTCCCTGAACCACACAGCGTGGGCCTACAGCATGTGTGTATGTGTGTGTGTGTGTGTGTGTGCGCGTGTGCGAGTGTGTGTGTCTTCTCAGTAGCTTTTGAGCACTTAAGCACTTTTAGATCAGAACAAATATGGACAATTAGCCATACATATTTGTGTTCCAGCACAGCTTCTATCATCTGATTCAGGCTGTTCAGAGTGTTTCCATTACCTGCTGAGGATTCTGACAGTAAGGTACATCTATGTATACCAGGACCAGTCGTTGTATTACAGGAATAGTTCAGGGGAAAAAAATCGAATTTACATGATTGTTCACTTCCACCAAATGCAGTTGATCAGGCAAGATATGTTTGGTGTGCAAATGTTTGCTTCTTTGGTTTAGAACTGGAGCCGCTAGGCTTTTTCTATAATTTTTCAGTTCCAGCTTAAGTGGTGTAGAAATTTGATTATGTTTAAATAAAATGCTAACTTCTGGTGGGTCCAGAGCTCAACTGACATGTCTTTATGAGCATACGGAGGTTCAAACATATGGTTGAGGCTCATTTGTGCAGAAAACGTGGTCCTCACGTTTTCATAACTGGACACTGTATTGATTTTCTGAGTACGCTCATTTAGCTTCTCTACTTACATTAACCTACACTAAAGTCTAGGATGATGAACTGCATTTTGCGTAAGTGGAAAAATATAGAAATTTGATTATTTGCCAAATTATTCATTTTATAATACTGATACCAGTGGGGAACCTGCAGGGCCCTCAAAAACCTGCTTGCATTGTTTCTATTTTTATATTTCAGTTTAATACAGATATTAATCGTCTCCTACTGGCTAGAACATCAGGAGCTGAACTGAAGGCCTAACATGTCTAATCTATAATACTATAATAAATAGGAAGTGGCAACAATTCAACCCTGACCCTGATTTACAATAGGTAGGTCCAATCTCATGAGAAAAAGGCTACTCTACGTCTTCTGGAAGTTCTAGATATGTCACTGAGTGCAGATGCTCGCTGTAGCCTGACCACTGCATTTCAGTGAGTTGTTAGCAATGAAAAACAGCTCTAGGTCCACGTTCTTTACTGAAGGACTGACTGTAAAACATCTATGTAAGTAAAATATGTTAAAACATCTGTTACAAGCTTAAGATAAAACAAAGAATGTCTGTTACAAGCTACAAATGTCTGTTTTAACCGAGAACAGCCAAAAATCTTTAGCTTAGCGCTAACATATTTCTAGAATCCCATGAGAGAGCTGGCAGAAATGAACATAATCGTAGGGGTGTTGTTTTCCTTTTTTCTCGAGTTTTGACATTTGCGGCCCAGACTGAAGGCCTACCGATATGGTTCGCTATTGGCTGATACCTTCTCATATTGCTCTCATTTGGTTGCAGTTGGCTTACCTGTACATTGGCCATGGTGTGATACCAGTAGAAGAGGCGTGAGGTGATGAAATAGCCAACCACGACGTCCACACTGTAGTGCTCGTGAGCCACTAGGATACACACTACCCCGACTGCAGCCAGGAGCCAGCAGAGCAGGTGGTACCACCAGAAGGAGCGTGGAGAATCTGCAGAAAGAGGGGGTGGTCTGGTTACTGCAGGATCTTACCAAATGCTGAGTACAGAGTGGATCTAAGAACTACAACTACAGCACCAAAGTCACTCTGGTAAAAATAGGCTTAGGGGTGGACACTAGGCAACGGGAGGCAACCACCATGCGCACCATAAAAACAACTTACTAGATATACACCATACGTCCAAAAGTGTGTAGATACCCTTTCTAATTAGTGAATTCAGCTTTAAGGTGTACTCGGGTTCAGCTGAAGACATACAGTTTGTATAATCTCCAAAGAAAACCATTTTCAATAGAATAGGACTGAAGCAGGCATATACAAGCCTAAGTTCACCATGCCCAATGCTAAAATGTATTTTGAAATCCATTCATGGTGGAGGAGTACATGCAGGGTGTTATGGGACAAAATAGTATTAAAAGAAAACATATTTTTCAGATTTATGACTATTTTACCATCGTGAACATTACATACAAAAAACCCAGGAGACACATGTAGGTTAACTGGTCATTTTGCATAGTAAATAAATGGACTATTTTTGTGGTGAAGACATTGTGACCCCTGGTTCCTATCACCAATATTATAAAGACATCTGTGTCTATAAGTATCTCTACAGTGAACCATTTCACATTAAACCACTTGAAATGACTTTGTTTAACTCTCAACAACTGAAGTATGTAATTCTCTTTGTAAATTGTGTAAATTCTCTTTAAATTTGCCTCTTACTAATTCTGTATGTTGAAGATTGACAGTGAGCCATGGCACAGTTTGATCTTGGATGCTCTTCTTGCTATTTGCTCTGTTTGGACTTTTGTATCACATTTCCATTTTGCCACAGAAATGTAAAGCTCCACAAACATAAAGTTTCCCCCTCTCTCTGACAGGTCTGAGTTTGTCTAGAGGAAGAGGGGCGGGGCTTGTTTAAGGACGACACTCACAGCCGCAGACACTTACACTCCTTGATGAAGAGATATGTGAGTGTCAGCATGACTGTATGGCCACTGTACAGGAAATCCCCACACATGATGTGTGAGCCGGTGATGGACAGTCCAGCTCCAGAGATCAGCTGCAGCACACGCTGTAACTTAGCCTGAGAGTCGCCGTAAAGCTGAGATAGAGAGAGAGAGAGAGAGAGAGAGAGAGAGAGAGAGAGAGAGAGAGAAGAGGCCAGGGGAGAGGGAAAAAGAGATGCAGTGCTTCAAACATTTGCTTTGGATTGTATGACATAAAAGCTTTTCATTATCATCCCATAAATTCCTCTGATCTCTGATCAGAAGCTTTGTATGATAATCATTAAAGCTGTCATGATCAATTATATTAGTAATCAGGCAATCTATGGATTATTTTGACAATTAGTTAAACAGAGTGGTCAGTTTTTAAAAAGAAAGGCCTGAACAACAACAAATGATGCATAATTCTGTAATAGGAAATAAACAAGAACGCTTTTAAAATACATCGTTACAAACACCACACTCTTAAAAAGATTCTTCAAGGGTTCTTTAGTCTTCACAAAAGATCCCTAAACAACCATCTTTTTAAGATTGTATGTAGCATAGATTCTAAGGACTTAAACTATGCATTATCATCATGCAAATGTTCAACTAATCATTTGAGAAACTATATTTCAGACAGGATAAGCGGCTTAGAAGATGGATAGATCGATATTTCAAACAATTATTGTAAAAAAATTAAGTCTAACTGAGCAGTCATGACAGGCCTAACATTTACTTAAGCCGCACTGTTCTTCTGCAGTCAGAAAGGATATTACAGTCTTCAGCAGAATCTGCTGGATTTGGTCATGATACGCCTGCATTGGGGCCTGAGGGAGGCTGGATGTGAGGTAGACAGAAAGGATAGAGAAAAGCACTTTAGTGGTCAGTATTTACCTTCGGGGCACAGGTCATGTGCATGCTGGGCACAGGCAGAGTGGTGATGTACATAGTGACGCAGCGATACAGGTACAACGTGCCCATGAGGAAGAAGAACCTCCTGCCCAGAATGGACCTAGAAATGCAGCACAGAAGATCTAATCAACAACTTACACAGCCTCGACTCTTCTAAGAAGGCTTCACACTAGATGTTGAAACGTCAGCCACCAGAGCATTCGTGAGGTCAGGTACTGATGTTGGACGATTAGTTCGGGATCAAAAATGCTGCCCCAGCTCATCCCAAAGGTACTGGATGGAGCTCCATTACTCCAGAGAACTGCTTTCACTGTTGAACACAGAACAGCCCAATGCTGGGGAGCTTTATCCCCTTCTAGCTGATGTAAGGGTATAGTAACCTGGTGGCTCCATTCTATTGGCAATGCTTTTCTAGGTTGCAATGTCTGCAGTGAACGTGCCTTAAAGTAGCTAAATTCACTTATTGAAGGGCTGTCAGGGTACTTTTGGACATATAGTGTATATCCATATTCACACTGATGAGGTCAGGATGACAGTATGAATGAGAGCAAAGAAATGGGCATAAAAGTGGTTCAAAATGATGAAAAGAATCTGTAATTTTATCAGCAAAGTATTATTTTATCAGGACTTTATTTGTAGCCACTGCTGTATTACCACAAAAATTGACTGTAACACAAAATGTTCTGAATACAACAGAACTGACAGAATTTGTCTATATAGGATGACTTGTGCTGTCATATTGCTTAAGATTAACCTGCCTTGACTGGCTATAACACTGGGCCTCATTCACCAACCATTCTTAGGAAGAAATTTCTTTTTAAAACCCACTTATACAGTTTTCAAGAAGATTCTGACATTCACTGCTGCTTTCTTTGTTCCTAGGTAAGAACAGAATCTACACACGCAAGACAACAAGGGGGCAAACAATTCTGAGGCTTAAGAACACGTCATGAATCTGATACAGACTTTTTCTTCAGACCTTTCTCATGAACAAATTTAAGACAAAACTTAGGAAGCTTAGGGGGGTTAAAAAAGTAATTGATAAGTAATTTGACCATATAATCAACACTATTTCTATAACACATTTTGCTACAGCAGGGGGCACCAATCTTATCCATGAAGGGCCAGTGTGGCAGAAGGCTTTTATTCCAATCAAACAGAAGCACACTTGATTCCACCTGTTTCATCAGTTGGTCAGTCTTCAAACTATTGATTAGCTGCAATTGTGTGCAAAATATGGGTCAAATGACATGTTTTTTGATTTTTTGAATAAAAAGTGAATAATAAGTTGGCACATTCTCTACAGAGAACACACTTCTGCCTATATTAAAGCACAATTACTGTTTATTTGCTCAATTTAACATATTGGGGAAAAAAATAAAACTTATGCAAAAGTTACAGTGCATTTTACATTTTATGTTAGATTTTTTTCCACTATATTAAACAAAGTAGAAATAAAGTAGAAATTTATGCTAAAATGTGCATAAAAATGCCATATTTTCTTCCCTGTAGAGGATCTGTTAACTTATTTTCACATGGAAGATCAAAAAAACATTTGACTGGGGGTTTTCAAACTTTTATACAACTGCATATGGCATGTGATTCTGCTTGGTTGGAATGAAACCTGCAGCCACATATATTTGCCTGTATGCTACAACATTTCGTCCCCTTGGAATTATAAGGTTCTGTCTGACATTTTTGTCAAAATTGAGTTATTCATATTTTCTTATTCTGTGACAACTTCTTAACATTATGTGAGGTGTTTTTAAAGTGATCTGCATTTTTGGACTTTTATCTAGAAAACAAAATGATTCTGTCTCCAAAGTGAAACTCTAACTTAGTTCTATAAGGTTCTATCTGTGAGCCAATCAGCATTTCAAGTACACACGAAAGGACCAATCGGGTTCTGCTTCTCTGTCATGTTGCCACACTCCTCAGTGACTGTGGGTAAAGTTTATAGAACTTTATGAGACATGAAAATGTTTTGCTGTAACTCTGCTTGTCTTCTTACAGTTCTTTAAAAAGTCTAATTGTCTTACATTTTGTAAATGTTAAGCCTTAAAGATAATAATATAGTAAACATGTGAATTAATGGGATCTTAATCACACAAACATCAATTACATTAATTCATCCATCTTTTCGTTTTCTTCTTTCTCCCTTTGGCTCATTAGAGTCACATTTCTGATATAAAACTAAACCTTATATTGCCTTTAGACAGACTGGCTACACTGACTTGCTGGGACAGTTCATTACAGTAGCTGGTTGCTATGAAACCTAAAGTACACTTAAACTAATGGTTCCTACATAAACCTGACCTCAGCACTGGACAAAATATTTAGCACTGACCTTTATACTTAATTGGTAACACTGTACTGTAGGGTACAGTTCATAAGGCTAAATGACATCCACATAAGCTTGTTGTGACAACTGACATAGACCTACATAAATGTTTATTAATGCTTATTCCAATAGGCGTTATCTGTCATAAAAGCTACTTTAGCTAACTTTGATTAAAATTGGCAAATATAACCTTTATAGCAAATGACGCCTATTACAATGAGCATTTATAAACATTTATGTAGGATTATATCAGTTGTCATGACAAGCTTACGTAGATGTCATGTAGCCTTATAAACTGTACCCTACAGTAAAGTGTTACCAAATAAAAAAAAGCGTCATGAAAATGTCATAGAATGCTTTAGATTTAACGTTCTGATAATGTAGACACTGTTACAGCACTAGTTTTATGTTTTAAAATAAATTACAAGCAAACTGTTTGTGTTCCTTCGTTGCTCCTTTAATGTTTTGTCAGATAGAACCTTATAATTCCAAACAGAAAGTGAGTTCTTAGGATTAGCAGGTTCTATCTGCATTTGACCTGTTCCAAAGAAACTTATTTACAAATCTGACAGGATTTTGATATTGTACATTCAGAATACATTCAGGGTGTCGGTCACTTTCATGTATGACACAGACGTGTTCCACATATCAGTTTTGCTATTTGGAAAGCAAAATTTTTGAAACTCAGTTTTTCAAAATTGCCCAGAACACAGATAGAACTTTATAATTCCGAGAGGAAGAAATATTCATTTATGCAACATTACAAAGTTATGATTACTGATTTTTGTTTACTGACATTTATTGGTCTTCTTAATAAAAGGGAGGCCAGATACTTACCTGTATTTGTGGAAGAGCCACTGCAGGGACCAAATCCCCACCAGCACCATGCCGTTGACCTCGGTCACTGTGAACGCCCACTTCACGCGGTCGATGTAGTCGAAGAACTTGTCGGGGAGCGGTGGGCTGCTCTCTTTGGCTGGAACTCTTTCATGCACCACTGTTATCATCACTGTGGTCAGCACCAGGTTGAAGGCAGCATACACGAAGGTGATGAGTGTCTTCCACCACTCCATGGGCAGCCTGTGGGCCCTGCCCTCCGGCACCGAGATCTTGACGTAGTCTCGGTGTCGGCCGAGAGCCTTTCGGGTCCTCTTGGCCTCCTCAGCCACAGGACTGTGGACAGGACAGACTGGACCCGCAGGGCGGCTGCCGTCATGTTTGTGGGCATCTGTAGGGTGTCGTTCGCACTGGTGATCCGCAGATGCCATTAGTGCCCACGCGCTACCCACTAATCACTACAGCGCTGCACATGCACACAGGCCTTGATCTGCCTTATGGGTCTGCACCACTGTTGATGAATGAATGGCTTCGGCCTTCTAGGTTTCAGGTGTGGTGCTGCAGCTGCAGTCTCTAATGAAAGAAACATGAAGGAAATCAGATAGCATATTCCGTTAAAAGAGGTCAATCAATTTTAGAACGCATTAATAATCAATACAGGCTCTTTATAACCACAAATAAACAATGCGCTCACATTCAGATGAAACTGTATTACAATACTTGACATGAAATGCTCGTCCTCAGAGGGCATAAAACAGAAGTGGATATTTAGACATCTGTAATCCAATCCTAATGTTACTGTATTTGGCTTTCAGTTTGATTTCTTTAACCTTTAGCAGTCTAAAGCTGCTGTTTTGCTAGAGTATTTGAATATAAAGCTGTAACTGTATATTTTTAACTATGAGTTAAATGTAAAGGCCCATGGAAAAAACTGAACTATTTCAACTATGCTAATTTTAGTGCGCAATTTCTAATTATTTGATGCGTTTAATATATTAGAAAAAAAGACATAAACTATATAATGTGCCATAAGTTTGCACAGGCCACATTTTGCAAAACCAATTCCAAAAAAGTGGAACAGTAGGTAAAAAGGGACAGTAGGTAAAATGCAAATAAAAACAAGAAAGCTGTGATTTATAATATACTTTGACCTGTATTTGAACAAAAACAGTATAAAGACAAATTATGTAGTGTTTCATCTTATCAACTCATCAAATATTCGCTCATTCTGAAATCGATGCCTGCAACACATTCCAAAAAGTGACCTCTCAGACGGCACTGCATTAAAAACCAGCATGTTTCTGTGATGGAGATCACTGTGTGGACCCGGGAATACCTTGAAAAACTGCTGTCATTAAACAATGTTTATTGCTGCATTAACAAATGTGAGATAAGACTGCCACAGTGGAAGTTATATGTCAACAACGTCCATAAACGCTGCCGACTTCTCTGGGCTCAAACTCATTTGAAATGAACTGATGTACTCCATGTACTGTGGTCTGACAAGTCAACCTTAGAGATCTTTTATAGAAATAACAAATAAGTAAAGGACCATTTAAAAAGTTACCGGTGTAAAGTTTAAAATCCAGCATCTGTCATGGTGTGTGGGGGGGTTATTGGGTACCTTGCACATCAGCTGTACACATTTTGGAGCAACATATGCTGCCTTCCAAACAACATCTTTTTCAGGCACATCTGTGCTTATTTCAACATAACAAAAACAAGCCACATTCTGCCTGTCACAACAGCATGATTGAGAATTCAGAACGTGCGGGTGCTAGACTGACCTGTCTGTGGTCCAGAACTGTCTCCCATTGAAAATGTGTCTTATTAACCTCAAAGTACAACTTGTATACAGATTTGTATAACAGAAGAATGGCTAAAAAATTCACTTTCAAAACTGGAACAATTTGTGTCTTCAGTCCCCAAACGATTATTAAGTGCTGTCACTTTTCAAAAGGAAAAGTGATGTAACACAGTGATAAACATGCTCCTGTCCCAACTTTTTTGAAACATGTCGCAGGCAGCAAATGTATAATGAGCCTATATTTACATAATACAATGAGGATCAAAGGGTACAACACCAAATATTGTGTTTTTGTACTGTTTTCAAGTCAATACAGGTCAAATATAATCACTGTTTTCTCTCTTTATTTGCATTTCACACACTGATCCACACACTGAATAATTTTTTGGATTTGGGGTTGTATGTTTTATATATGTTAAATTCAGCAAATAAACAGTAACTGTGCAGGTGTTAGATATAGTTGTATGCAGTCATAAAAGTTGGAAAGTTCAACCAAAAAATAGTTTAGCAAAAAATAGAAATATGAGAAGTAAACATAACATATACTTTTGCACAGGCCATATACGTATATATATATATATATATATATATATATATATATATATATATATATAGTTCGAATATGTTAAATTCAGTGAATAAACAAATTGTGTTTAAAATGTGCAGAATTGTGTTTTCTGTAGAAGATGTATTCACTTATATGTAGTTTGACCGGAGCTGCCCAAACCTTTGCATACAGCTCTCTCTGAAAACTGGCTCTCAGTGAATGAAGGGCGTTCACTGTGTTTACGGCTTTGAGCAACTTCTAACACAAGAACAAAAGAGTGAAGGTTGTTTATATGAGCTGTTGTCGACCGCTTTCCTTCTCTTGAAAGTTCATTCTGCTGTTTCTGGGGGTTTGCCAGATGTGCACTGCACTCTTTTATTTGAGCGGCATGCTGAATTTGGACCCAGGGGGAATCTGACTCTCATATTGAGCGATTTATGCCTCGGGCGACGTTCTGAGCCTTTTCCCTGTCTGCTCTCATATTTTCCTCCACAATAACACCACCACAGTTCAAAGTATTTGCAAGTTTTTGCATGGTTTAAACAACCTGAATGAACTTTAATAAAGTTTCTATTTGGATATACAATTCAAAGCATTTACACTGAACTGACCTATTTTAATGTAGGGATACGCTATGCATGCGGGGTAAGTCTATATATTTTGCAAATCTGTAATATTAAAATAATTTGTTTGGCCATGTTTTACTTCAAAGCAATTAAGGATGATTTCACATTTATGGTGGCGATTCCAGAGAGAAAAACTGAGGTGCATGTTATGTGAAATAGGTGTTGGTTTGATATAATTATAATAATAATAAAGCTACTAATTAACTTTTCATATTTCTTGTCATTACATATTTAATTTACAGTAGAGTACACAGAAATGCTACAAATCAGCAAATTACTAATATTTTTATTCTGGCTAATCTGTGTTGCAGTTTTTATGTAAATATCGTGAAACAGGTAAGTGCACCTGCACTTCATTATTCAAAAATCATTATAACTTATAAAGTTGAGCTATTTGAACTACAAATAACAAGTCTATAGGACATAAAACAGATTACTATTTGAAATTTGATTAACTCAAAATTTTAAGTCACCCTGAACCTTTTCATTTAAAACAACTATTTTTTACTAAGTACTAGAAATGTGCTAGTGTTCATTTAACCCATGCAGTGTGAGCTTTGAGTTAAGCAAAAGGCCAAAAATCACCCATTGACCAATGTTGCTGTAAAGAAAGTTGTATGTCTTGTAAGATGTTCTGGATAAAAATGAAAAAAAAATAAATAAATACTGCCTAACTCCTCCTCCTTCCACCTTAACGCCCCATAAATTTTCATCCCTACTTTCCGTAAACCTGTCCTATCTCTCTGTTGGGGGAGGCCAAGCCTTCTAGCTCAAAATTCTAGCCGGAGTTCTCAGAGTTGTTGAGCTAGCAAAGTGTCTGCGAAATGAACACATCCAAATGTAAACATAATTAGCATTGAGAACCTAAGAAGGAACTACAAAGCCTGCAAAGTCTAACAGAACAGAAAAGGCTCTCAAATTAGAGCAGCTCTCCTCTATCCAAGAATACAGTCTAAATGCAGGGCTCAGCTCACTGGAACCAACAACAAAGCCAACATAAGCTTTCAGACAGAGGCACTTCACAAACCTCTGGGCCGTTTGAAAGTAATTATATGAACTATATATGAATAAGAATGGGGCTGTACTCTACCCACAATCAGTTTGCTTTCAATTTTTGTGCACTTTTCTATCAGCAGCTAAATATTTTCAAAGATGCATTGTGAATTCTCAACCACTGTAAAAAAGTTGTCATAAAATGTACAGTAATTTACTGGCAGCAGAGTTGCCAGTAAGGTACTGTGTATTCACGGTAAATATTTTACAGTATTTAACTGTAAATTTATAGTACTTTACTGGGAGCTCTACTGCATTGCAAATTGCATTATCTGGTATGTAACTGTAAACCAATACACTGCTCTAAATGGCCAATCTTTTACAGTATGATCCTGTAAAATAACAAACCAGTATTTTAAAAGAAATACTGTAAATTTACAGCTATTTTTACAGCGCCAACATTCATTACTAAGACAGTACTTACTTTGTACATGAAAGCAAGGTTTTTAGCCCAGGTGCTTGAAGGCCCCTTACATGTTCATTCCTGGAATGGAATTGACAAATTCAAATGTTTTCTTTCAAAGCAACTGTTGTGAATTTGGACAAGCTGTAGAGAATGTTGGTAAAAATCCCAATCAACGAAACAAATTTAGGCTAGAGTTTCTACATAATTTCGCTACATAATGTTAGGTTTTCAGTTTCAGACACTCTGTTACTGAGCTAAACTATGTTGTTGTAGCTACTGGAACCTACACAGTAAAAAACATCATGTGAAATGAATAATGTGCTCTAAATGTAGAGTTTTTTCAACCTCACATCAGTGAAAGAACACTCACAAAAGAAGGCATTTGTAGGCAGAGCATGAATAAACCAAAGGAATACTGTTTATTGTCACTGTAAAAGTACAACGAAGTTTCATTTTGCAACTCCTGAAAGGTAAAATGTGTTCAATAAGTCCTGTCCTTTCTGAAAGCAGCGACTGGAGATAACCTGAAGTACATAAGGTGCCTTATCTCTCTGCAACACAAGCACCGATGTAGCGTTAGAGCCATACAGCTCCAGCCTTATGATAGGCAGGTCAGCTGCACTCCTGATGACCTTTGCTTAACCGAGGCAGTTTCAACATCCTCCTACTGTCAAACAATTCCACTATCTCACCTCCTCATATCAAATTTACACAACCTATTACAAAATCAGCTTCAGACTCTGTTGCGTGTGACCTGGAAGGGAGGCTGTGTATCCATAGTCTTATCAGCACAGTGGAAACCCCTCCATAGCCAGTACAGCACTGAAAGAGTAATGTACTTGATTCAAAAGTCATTTCCAAGTGAGTGAAGTATATTACATGAAATAAAGATGGCACTGATCTGAAACCAGGTACTGATATCAGAAGAAAATGCTTGACTCATACGCACCTGAGTAGTGGAGCAAGAGGAACATGTGCACCTCCACAGAGGAGAGCGAATGTTCTTATTTGAATGAAAACTTGACTTTTACTGGAAGTAACTGTGTGAGCAAGTTTACAAGATTATTTGTAAATTTTCATTTTTCTTGTGATTTTATCAGCCTTTTGACAGAGTAGTCAGAATTATGTCTTATTTTCTCAAGGTTTTAACTGTCTGAATCATGTCTTGTTTTCTTGAGATGTTGATTGATTGATTATGCCAAAATATTGGCTCATTTTTTTTAGATTTCTACTGATTATGTTAAACCCATATTTTATTTTCTCAACTTAATGAGAATTTATGTTGGAATAATGTCGTTTTCATGAGAAGTTGACAGATTAAGTTGGAATAATGTCTTACTTTCTTGAGATGTTGATTGATTATGTTGGATTATTGTCTTATTTTCTTGAGATTTTGACTGAGATATCAGAATAATGTCTTATTTTTTCAAGGTTTGATTATGTTGAAATAATGTGTTCTTTACTTGAGATTATGACTGATCATGTTATAATAATGTCTTATTTACAGCGAGACACTTCCACAATGGTAGAAACAATAACTATAGCAGTGGTCTTATTACACCCCCACATCATTAAACTCACTGATGTACATTATTATTATACAGTTAATACATTTACAAAAAAAAAAAGCTCCCCCACCTTTACTCAAAATCATGCCCCCTGGCTTGGATATTATGCATAAAAAAGGGATGAATTTAATCCAAACATGTAACAAATCCAGGCTGAAGCAGCACATTGCTAGCTGTGTATTTCCTCCTGTGGGGAAGTAGAGTGTTTGAGAAGTTTGATCATGATAGCCTACTTTCACAGGCTCATCTTACATGAAGTGCTTCAATACAGAAAGGCTACTTTTAAACTTCAGTAGTTTAAAAAAAGAGACATTTTGGTTTGGTATTGGTATCAGCCAGTATGGAGGATTTCACTAACTATTCAATGTTTTTAACGTAACGTTTCCACAACAAACACATTATAAGTTGCTGTACATGCACTGTTGATCCGACACACATGTCTGGATTTAAAGACTCAACAGGAGTAGTGCAGTACTAATAGAATAGTTTTAACTTCCACCAGACACTCTCACTGTATCTGTGCTCAGTCAGCAGAATAATGAACTTCACCTAAAGTGCAAACCATTTATGTTCCATTGTTATTTAGTTAATGCAACAGAAAATCAAAAAAGGCTAAAATTTCCCTGACAGCTGAATAATATTGGACATTTTTATTTTTTTTTTTAAACACGTCCTCAACCGCTCTCTGTTCAGTTTTCCATGTGTGATCTAATTAAAGAGACTTCTCCTCAGCGGAGAATGTGAGAGAGTGTCAGGAACAGTCTTTTTTCCATTCAGCTGTGCTTAAAAGCCCCATTAACAGACTATCACTGCTCTCTCCTCTCCGAGATGCATCTCAGCAACAACATTACACAGACACACAATACAAGGTAATCAGAGCCAAACTGAAGGACACAAAGAGGAAGCACAAAGCATTTCAGGACTAAATTCTACTGAAGCCAGGCTGAAATGTAGCTCTGATTGCAGTGCAGAACTATACAAACATCCTCACGCAGTTCAGATACTAATCATTCTAAATGTTGCAGCTTTATTCACGATTTAGCTCACAGATGCTTAGTGTTCCTAAAACACTAACAGCCAGCTTCATAGACAGACAGACAGACAGACAAACAGACAGACAGACAAACAGACAGACAGACAGATAGACAAACAGATAGATAGATAGATAGATAGATAGATAGATAGATAGATAGATAGATGGATAGATAGACAGATAATTTCTTCTTCATTGCACTTCAACTTTTCTTTGTTTTCTTTTTTCAAAACACTAAACTTTAGTGTTGTTTAGTTGCATGGTTAAATGCAGAAATCTTCAATTTTCAATGAGGTCTTAGACTTTTGGACCAGACTGTGACTATTAGAAAAATGTAGAAATCTAATTTACAGTAGATGTGTGTGCACAAAAATACGTGTAAATATTTATATGTGCTGTAGGGGTGGGAATCTCTAGGTACCTCACGATTCGATTTGATTATGATTCAGAGGGCTGCGATGCGATTATAAAATGATTATTGATGCATCTTTTTTTCTATACGGGATTTCTTTTTTCTCTCTATGTGAGGACTTGGTACTTTTAAAGCAAAGTATTTGTAATGATCCATAATGATTAATAATTAATAAAATAAATGGAAGTGATGTGGTAAGTGAACTGGAAGGCTCTCATTCACTGCTCTTGTTTGGAGGACATGAGACGCTGCTGCCACTCATCTGTGATAAAATGTGCTGTTATGGTGAAATAAGATCCAGTGGCAATAGATGTCCACACAACACACGTTACAGTCATCCTACGTTTCCTTTAGTGATTTCATAATTTCAGTTTTGGTCTCGTTGTAGAGAGCGGGGGTCACTGTGTCAGTAAAATATCTTCGAGGCGGGACGTGTGCAACATAGCGTGAAAGCCCTGGTTCTCAATGACTGACAACTGGCGTGCAGACTGCAGGCCACATAGCAACGCACTCTCGCCTGGCTAGCAGTGAACAAAAAGGCAAAGAGAGAGATTTAAGACAAACATTTGGAGACTAATGGACTTATTCGCATTTATAAGCACTGCAGTTGATTTCCTGGAACGTTAAATCTGCAACGAGAGACTGTCAAACACTAAAAAGTTGTGAAGATGAAGTCAGCTCCTCTTTCGAGTTTTCCCGTTCCACTTTAAATGGTACTGCATTTACGTTCAGTGCCTCAGGCAGAATTTAAGGTGGAACGAGAGAATTCGAACAAGGAAACTGGCAAATGAGAAGCGACTTCAGCCTCATAAAACAGTCGAATGTTGAAAGACATTTTTCAAGAAACGGTTCTACTTTTAAGGAAAATGTCCTGCCGGAAATGGGAGGAAAGCGGCTATAGCTAAAGCTTAAAGCAGAGCAAAGTAAATCTGTGTTTTCATTTATATTTTTTAACCTATACTAGGACATTAGCACATACTGAGACATACTGGTGGTTTGATTTTTGTTGAAAGGACAAAATGGCTCTTCTTATCATTTGGGTTGTGACTCCTAACCTAGCTTTTAAAACAGAGGGTGCAGGTCGGATTTCTCGCTCATCCAGTTGTGTTTTTGTTATGTGCCGTCACAGACTGTCCGGGCGCTGCACTTTCGCACTTCCAAGTGCCGCCTTTTGCGTTCCATCAACATTACATTGTAAATTAAATATTTAGAAAATCGATTTTTGACATTTGTGAATCAATTCAGAATCGTTCACGTCCGCATCGCGATGCATCTAAGAATTGATTTTTCCCCCACCCCTAATATGCTGTATGTTCTGACACTGCAAAAGCCTGCACATGAACACTGTACATATAGGCCTCATACATATGTGTATTGTTCCAGCAAGATAATAGCAGAACACCAATGCTCATGTAACATTACTATTACTTAGATTAAGCGTAACATTGAACTAAACAAATCCAATGGTTCCAATTTAGTTCTACACACTTAAAAAGATGGTTATTCAATGGTTCTTTGGTAAAGACAATGGTTCTATTTAGAACCATGAGTTCTATATAGAACCATTTGCATACTAAATGGTTCTTTGATTGATGAAATGGTTCTTTAGATTGATGGAGAATATGTTGAATATGGTTCTATATAGAACTTTTTTGAAAATGGCTCTATATAGCACCAAAAGAACCATTCTCTGTCCGTCCAAAGAACCATTTCACCATACACTTTTAATAATGAGGGGTTTCAAGGGTTCTTTACTAAAAGAACCCTTGAAAAGGGTTCAATATGGAATCATGAACACTCAAAGAACCCTTTGCATACTAAAAAGGTTCTTTGCACCGTGAAAGTGTTCTTTAGAATATGCTGTAGATGGTTCTGTATAGAACCTTTTTGAAAAGGGGTTCTACGTATTACCCAAAAGTGTTCTTCTATTGCTACAATGTCAAGCTTGTAAGAATAGAAGAACCCTTTTGTCGTGCTGTATAAAACCCTTCAAAAAGGTTCTATATAGAACCATCTACAGCACATTCTCCATCAATCTGAGGAAACTTTTACAATGCAAAAAACCCTTTAATTATGCAAAAGGTTCTTTAAATGTTCATTTTCCGCACTAAGCAACCCTTGAAGAACCGTCTTTTATAAGAGTGTACAAAGAACCATTTAGCATGCAAATGGTTCCATAGAGCTCTTGGTTCTAAACAGCCTTTACTAAATAACCTTTGAAGAATCATCTTTTTTAAGTGTGGTCAATTAAGACTAGGCTTAGCCCACATCCAGGAAAGTGGCCCTAACACAAGATCTATCCCTGCCTACGCTGCAAACAGCATTCAGCCATAAAGACGGAGGAAGTGACCATAAAGACGGTGGCAATTACTGTACCATTCAGTTGTAAACCTCTTCATGCCAAATCTCACTGTAGTCAGCCAGCGGCTCCTGCAGAAACAGCAGCAGCAGTGTACGTCCCTGTGTGACTCTACCCTTCCTCACGCCGGTCCTTACACTGCTGTCCTCATGCCTCCAGACTCAGAGCAGCACTCTTTCCCAGCCTCCGCCCTCTGCTCTGCTCTGCTCTGCTGTGATGGAGATGCGTGTGGTGGAAAGCTGGCAGGGGAAAATGTCTTCCACATGCTGCAGACAGAGTAATGGATGGGTTGGCTGGCTCCGCTCGCTCTGCCCTGCCTGCCCGCCTGCTATTTCCAGCACAGCCGCCCCACTGCCTTCAGCACAGGCCTGTGTTTAACTCTCAGAGTGCGGCCAGCGACCTACACATTAACACACGCTGCTAATCACACAGTACTATAGGCTGCATGGTCATTTCTTTCCTCCTTAAATACAACATCAAGCGAGAACATAAAAAAGCCACACCAAACGACTCAGCCAAGTTATTCAAGGGAAGCATTTAGACATCTAGCTCACATGTTTAACCCCTTAAACTGAGAAGGCCTGTATAGAAGCCTGCATTTCAGTTTCTTGCTCTCATAACTATAGAACTTAGATATTAGTGTCATTGCAGTTGTTGTACTATTCATATTAGTTAATGTAAGCCTTAAGCTTAATAATTGCATATTAGGCCTGCAGTTTAAGGTGCTAGGGCACTGTTTATGGACTTTGTCCTTGGAAACATGAGCAGCCCAGGAACGCCGTAAACCCACTTCACTAAAACATGCAATCCAGATATCATCGCGGTCCAAAACAAAAAAGGATCTCAATTTTTATGTTTTTTATTTTTCTACATCATTTGTAGCACCAAAAAAAGGCTCTTCTACTGTTACGATGTCAAGCTTGTTACAATAGAACCATTTTCAAAAAGTTTTTATATACAACCATCTACAGTAATTTCTCCATCAATCTGAGGAACATTTTCTTGATGCAAAAAACCTTTTAATCATGCAAAGGGTTCTTTGAAGGTTCATGGTTTTATATGGAACCATTTTCTTTACTAAAGACATTTAGACATTTATTCATTTATTCTTGACTGTAGGGCTGCAGTCAAACACCAAGACTATGACTAGTTGAGATTGACTCAAGGTCATAGATATATATATCTAGATACCTGTTGTTCTCTATCTGAGGCAATACATCTGTGAGTCCACCATATTGGAGCGGTCAAGATCTGCTTGTGAACAAACTCACTTGTATTGAGAGATGATGAGTCTCAGGATTAAATCGGCAACAACTTCTTTATTACTGAACCGATTTTCACCAAATTTGTTTTGTTATAATCCTCAGACATACATTTATCTAGGTTGCATGGACTGCTCTCGATAGCTTTTATCTCTTTAATAACTGATCGTGCTAATTACGAGTTTCCTTTAGTGATTTTATAACTTCAGTTTTGGTCTTGTTATAGACAGCGGGGGTCACTGTGTCAGTAAAATATCTTTGAGACGGGACGTGTGCAACATAGTGTGAAAGCCCTGGTTCTCAATGACTGACAACTGGTGTGCAGACTGCAGGTCACATAGCAACGCACTCTCGCCTGGCTAGCAGTGAACGAAAAGACAAAGAGAGAGATTTAAGACAAACATTTGGAGACTAATGGACTTATTCAATTTATAAGCAGCGCAGTTGGTTTCCTGGAACGTTAAATCTGCAACGAGAGACTGTCAAACACTAAAAAGTTGAATTAGTCGTCCAGACCAGCACGAAAGTATTCAGTCTGCACCTGACGTTGAAATTTTAACCTTAGAAGAAATCCACCTGAGGCGTTAGGTGGCCTGGTTGCCATAGGGCCCTGCACAACAGACCCCCAAGAGATGATATTGCATCCACTACCAGTAGCGGTAGTTTGCTTTCATCAAAAAAGACATGCAAGTCAGTCCTCAAAGAGTGCTTATCTTTGACAAAGTTGACTTCAGCAGATAATACATTAAAAGGTACATCCATGATAAAAAGGCTAGGGCTTTAGTCCAGGCCAGTGGTTCCCAACCCAGTTCTCAGAGCCCCCCTTGACACATCTTTGCTCCAGCGGAACTTGCAGAAAACATAGGCTGCTAAATTTACTTGCTTATTAAATTCTATATGTGTGATTAATTCTCTTTCTGATGATTTTAGAGGCCTTAATCTACAGCCATGAATGAACTTCTGCAAACTTGACAACCAGATTAGTGCAGCCCCAGTCCTGTAACTACATTCACACATTTTTTCTTCCCTCTGCTCAAACAGTTCATAAAGAGCTTGATAACAGTGTATTAACACAAGGAAAACTCAGAACTGTGTGGAGCCTGGGGTCCACAGGACTGGTACTGAGGACCACCAGCTTAGTATGTGTTGTGTGGGTCTATTAATTATGATTTAGAGTATCTTTAGATGCTGTCCTTTGAAGGCCAGCTCCTGTACAAAGCTCTTTGAACCACCCTGTTGGTTGGCTGAGGGTTAGGAAGAGGGTGGTGGCTGTAATTTCTTGTTCTGTGAATAACTGCTGCTGAGTTATTACAGGCTGTGGGGTTTGTGGAGGGAGCAACAGGCTCCAGAGTTACAACAACAGAACATGGCTGTTTGAATATTTGTCAGAGCTGCATTAAGGTTTTTTTATGGTTCATATCATAATCAAGCAGCAACAGGTGCTCCAACTCAAAAACCTTTACTGCTCTTACGCAATTAGCAAAAGAGTACTGGCATAATGAATATTAAAGGGGAATTACACCAAATTTTCCAAAATGTATGCCTATTCAGAGCATTTGTGTCGGTTCTAGTGGAACTTAGCGACTCTTTATAATGACGGTGATTGGAACCAGTTTTCTTTGTGGACTATTTTCCATTAAATCACCCTGTATGAGCCTCTCTGCCATGAATGGACGTTAAAAAAGGTCAAAATCTTATCTCAAAAGGATCGCAAAACAATGCCTCAGGCATCAGGCACTGCATTTACTAGCTTTCTTTGAAGGAGCTTTTAGAGGCATTAAATGCTTTGATTTCTGGTTCCTATCACCACCACTGTGAACAGTTCTGGCCTGAGTTGTTTCTCTAGAATGCCACGTTTCACAGCAGACCATTCTGAATGGCTTTGCTTCCATCTTAACCATTTAATAATACAAAAATGTAGAAGAATTGGTGTGATCCCCTTTTAAATACCAAAATATGAATTTTCTGATATACTCTCGTATAGAAATATAGAAGACAAAAGTAGGCCAGTACTTGCAAGCTAGTTTGAATTACAATAAATACTGTTAGACATGCTTTGTTCAAAATGTCTAAGGGTCATATCTCAGCACTCTTATACAAGAAAGCATGATTAATCATAATTATACAGCAACAGGTGATCCAAACTCTGAAACCGTTATTAATTTAAGGCTAATAGGTAATTGCAGGCTAGTTGGAACTACAATAAATCCCATTAGACATGATCTGGTAATAGATCTGTAGATTCTAAATAAATAACGTCTCCACTGCTCATGCTGTAATATTTCCATCAATATTTGCTCGAGCCATGAGTAGTGATTTGTTGCCAGACATCAGGAAGGTACATGACATTTATAAAGAGTAATAATCATATCAGGTATTTTACATACAGCGCACCAGGGAACATGCTAGTCTACATAGAAGTCAGCAGAAAGAGCCTTACCTTCTTGCTGACCACCCAGCCTCTGTCCAAAGCTCTGCGCAGATGAAAATGGAGCTGGCCTGCTCAGGCTCATGCTCCTCCCAGCTTACAGCACATGCTCAACACACTGATGCTGTATTACTGTAGTGTTCTCAGTGCTGCTGCACTCGTGTTCAGCAGCAACCTGCTCCATTCACACAATTCCAGATATGCAATTTTAACGGGTTTGTTCTTTTCTGAGTTTTTCTAATGATAACACATCTACTTATAGGCCTAATCAAATACATTGGAATCTATTTTACCTTGGTTCCAAGGGTCATTCTTCACATTTAGTTCCCTGATTCAATTTGTCTTTCATTTCATTCTGTTGTGTTAGTTCAGCATCTGGACAGCTTTTTCATTGCCCACACTTACCATTTTCCAGTTTTAGCATTTTATTTTAGACCGAGACGATCCCGATCAGATAAAAATAGTGACTAACAAACATCAGTAACATGCTAAGTAACGCTAATACAAACATTCCACTGCAGTTCTCAGTTTCTTTTTTGACATGATTTTTTACTCTACTCATTATTTCATTGAAGCAACATATCTTTGAACAGAGCATGTGTTTAATCTACTTGGCTCAGGTATAGATGTAAAACAAAGCCATGTGCTTTGGTGATTTCTTGTAGGTAAATCATTCATGGACCTTGCAGTCCATCTCAATTGTTGACCACTGCACTAATCAACATGACTGCTCTGTTGGTAAACTTACACCATGAAGAGTTAAACTGACTTCAGTGAATGTTCAATGCCTTTCTGGGAGAAAGCACAGTGTGAGGTGTTTAATATTACATTTTATTATTATATATATTATTTTTCTGCATTCCAAATTTCTCTTATTGATAATAAAGGATAGATAGATAGATAGATAGATAGATAGATAGATAGATAGATAGATAAACAGACATACAGATAGACAGACAGATAGTCGGACACACAGATAGATAGATAGATAGATAGATAGATAGATAGATAGATAGATAGATAGATAGATAGATAGACAGATAAACAGACATACAGATAGACAGACAGATAGTCAGACAGACAGACAGACAGATAGATAGATAGATAGATAGATAGATAGATAGATAGATAGATAGATTTTCAGTTAATTACTGTGGGAGATACATGGTGGACAGATGACTCATTCATTTCTGATGGACTATTAAAAGCTCAAGCAGCCTTATGTAGTGACTGATTTGTTCTCATCTTTAACTTCCATTTCTAAGTAATTATAAGCTATAGGTTTTCTCTGAATTCAAACAATACAGAGTTGTGTGGATGTGCTGGTGCTGGGAGAAATCCTCAGGGAACTGAGACAGCAGGAGGAAAGGACCCAGGAGGGATGGAAGGATCTGAGATAAAGCTACACCGTACTGTGCAGATGATACATAAAGGCATTTGTCTAGACAGTAAGCTACTCTAAAAACAAAAATACACAAAAAACGAGAAATATACAAATGAACAACAAATTGAATTTATGTGTGTGTGTGTGTGTGTGTGTTAACCACATCATTATCCTTTTCCAAACCTCTTTTTTTTAAGTTTTAAGTTTCCACAGCCGAGCAGTGAAGCCTTCAGATACAAGGTCAAGAGCCAGTGCACTTGCCCCCTGCACTCGTATCCTAATCATTAAGTCTTTTAGAAACTGAATATGTTGTCCTGGAGTAAGAACAGATAGAACTGAGTAGTGCAGTAGAGCAGGCTGGACTATAGAGGAGTCGAGAGACACACTGATGGCAATTTCAATGTAGAAGCTAACGCTTCGGGCTAGGACCGCTTATTATGCTTTTGGTGGCACGTCGGTATGTTTTTCATGTAACACAAACAGCGCTACACGTGAGTCGGAGTTTAAGCGGAGACCGCCGGTGGATTTGACCACATCGTTGTGAGTAGCTGCAGCAGCCGCTTAACGAATATCTCAAAAATAACCTTAACACTTTTCGGTTTTATCGTAAGTCACGTACATGTTGAGAAGAGTTTGAAGGGCCTTTAGCTGACTTAGCAGCTGTCGGTGCTCAGTTTTCTGCAGCAACACTTTAGACAGCTTTACTAACGTCACTGCCTTCAGCTTCAGCTTTCTAAGGATTAAATTAATAAAATTCAAGTGTTAGATGATAATTTAAGTTCACCAAGTGATTTTTAGTTGTTGGCCGTGACAAAAAGCATTATTTTTACACTTAATAGGCGTAAACGTATGAAAGCGCCACAGGAAAAATATATAGTCATTTAGTAAGTCATAGAAATCAGAACGTTTTCCATAGTTATGAGTTAACGTTAGTCTCTCATACTTATGACTTGTAATAATGTATTTCGTAAATCCTAATATCGCATAATAATATGTCATCTCATACTTACGACTTGTGCTTCATAATTTTGAGATAGTGAGTGGTGTTTATGAGATAATAAGTCATAATTATGAGAAACTTTCTCATTCTGAGGCAGTAAATTGTGAGATACTAAGTCATAATTACAGTGGTGGACGAAGTACACAAATCATGTACTTGAGTTAAAGTAGAGATACCCAAGGTAAAATATTACTCCAGTAAAAGCAGAAGTCCTCCCTTTAGACCTCCACTTGAGTAAAACTACAAAGGTATTTGCCTTCAAATGTACTTAAGTATCAAAAGTAAAAGTAGTAAAAGATTAATTATGACTTTAATGTCCTATTACCATTTTTGTAAGATGACTCTTGCTTCATTAACTCATTTTAGGTGGAAATACTCCAGTGTCACTCTTGGTAAACCAGTATTTTAATAGAATGTCATTAATTAGTCTGACGCTGATGTCTATTAAAATGATCATAAGCACAAAACACTGAAGGCAAACAGTTTCCATTAGGTAGAACCAAGTGACTCTGAAATTACCTTTTGCGAACAAGCGAAAGTTTCAGTTTAAGATTTATTTGTAGTTTAGTTACAAGTTTAAGTTTAAAACTTTAAACACAGTTTCACAAATGAGTTTTCCTTTATTATATTGCATCTGTAGGTCTCTGTTCATAAATATAAACAAGCAAAAACAAATTTACTATAACATGAAAGTGTTTGTATAAATTCAGAAAAAAGACACGTCAGCCACAACTGCGTATGTGTACATATATCTATATTGTAGTCTATGTACACAAAGTTAGGTTAGAGTCAGGTGTTTCTTCCATCATTTATGTAGGAATAGGCACTCCCATAATTTTACACTGCTACACTGACATTGAACTGTATACCTGCACTGGGTAGGTATGTCCAACAGGTAAAAACAAGCTCAAAACAAAGTGCGTGCTGTACCCTGATTGGTGTTTTCTTTCATTTTGACATGTTACGTTTTTATACACACATAAACCAAAAGGAACGACAGATTTCGCATAATGTAGTGGAGTAAAAAGTAAGATATTTGACTTGGAAATGTAGTGGAGTGAAAGTAAAAAGTCGCCCAAAATGGAAATACTTCAGTAAAATAAAGTTGCACAAAAAACTGCTTAAGTACAGTAAAGAATTACATTTACTTCCTTACTGTCCACCACTGCATAGTTATGAGAGATTCTCATTTTTATGAGATAGCACGTCATAATTATGAGACACTATCCCATTATTATGAGACAGTTATTATTACTATCAGATATTAAGTCATAATTATGAGGTAGAGTCTCATTTTCATGAGATAACAAGTCATAATTATGGAAACTCTTCTCATTATTATGACTTACTTGGTATATAGTTTTCTCCAGTGGCAGAAACGACATAGGGTTGAAATTAAGCAAGTAAGTCTCCTATAATTAACAGGGGAGTTTCTCAATCTTAATTCCTGAGTTTTAGTAAGTTTTGATCTGCTGTATCTTCGTAGGACAGACCGAGACACGCTTCACACTGCTGGCCACCTAATTGCCGTTATGTTTAGTAAATAACTACCTAACAAGAAGGACACTAACTGCAGTGTATGATTAGGATTATAGACTAGGGTGTGTTTGTAGGACACAATAGGTGTGTCTCAAACTGCAGTCTGTACGTTCTTGTGAACTTGCTGAATCTTTTGATCTAGAATGCATGTGTGGAGTACAGAGCACGGATTTGGAACAGCTTCAGTAGCTGAAGGAGGGGAAAGAGCCCCTTAAGAACAGTGTTCATTTACTGTACAATTAAAAACATATTTGTACATGAGTTTGCCATATTCAGGGTGACCCTGGTCAAAACATGTATGTGATTCCTGTAGAAAAAGCCCTATAGGAATCCCTGTAGGATTTCTATCATGTTGTAGCATCCAGGTAAAGAAGAACCAGACGGAAACATTAAGCATGCTGTCAAATGCTGCCGCCCAGCGCTACTTAAGCAGCTGGTATAGCATGCAGGTCACTTCTACGCTAAGTGCCATTAGGCAAAAGCCTTCCCATATGGCCACGCCTGCTACACTCCAACAGCAGCACGGCCAAAATACACTTTAGGCCAGAACCTTATCTCAGAACTCGAGCTGGGCGATATGGCCAAAAACGTTATCACGATAAACAAAATTCATATTGTTCGATATCGATACATATCGCGATAAAGTGTCAAATCATTATTTTTTTCACGTTTGAAGGCTGATTTTGCTCCTGGGTGGTTAACTGTGGTTTTAAACTATCACTTATGCTCCAATCATGACAAACACTCGGCAAACAGTGGAACATTTCACTGATCTGCCATGGAAGAGTTTCTGAGCTGTTTTTATCAGCTTGAAAAGCGCAGCTGCAATTTTTGTAATAGTCATGATTTAAGAAAGAAAACTGAGATTATTTTAGCTGTCTGGTGACGAGCGCTCGGCTATCCAGTTACAAATGCTAAACAAGTGGCCAACAACAGTGCTAAACTCTTTAGTTTCTCAACAACGTCAACTCGGTTCGGTAGGTCACTGCTGTCACTCCTACCACATCCATGTCAGAGCATATCACAGTATTCAGACACCAGCTAGACGACTGGGTTTCTCTATGCTACCGTAGTAGTTTAAGGGGTGAACCGCAGTATATCTGACGTTCGCTGTGTAAAAGCATTGTCTGCAGTGTGAATCTCTCGCACCAGACAAACAGAGTCCTCCTTTTAGGCATGTTTAAACTGAAAGCAGTGCTTTTGTGTCTTGTCTGATCTACCGTATCATCAATTCACCGTGTTGTGGCGGAGCGCTGCTTCAAGTTAGCCAGCAGCTAAAAACAGCTAGCCTGGAAAGCTAACCTAGCGCTCTCTCGCTTCCCAATGCCTCACAGCTTCCTCAGTTTACTTTCGTTTAAATCAGGGCTGTAACGAACATGAACCCACTTCTTTCTTTCACTTTAGTTGCTTAGGAATGCACTAATACTAAAATATGACGGTTTGGCGCTGTAACACGGCGCTGCAGACGTGATTTAACGCTGCTAAAGCTGTTAGGCTGTTAGTAAAGAGGTGAGTTCACCGTAGGACAGTACAGTTACACCACTGATCTCGTCACTCACACTCGGTCACAGGAGAACAGATCGCCGGTCGCTCCACTCAAACAGGGAATGTATAACTCCGCGTTTCAGCCGTTGCCAAAAGTATATTTGGCGACCCTTTTTTTTTACTCGTGGCCCCCTCCCTCTCTAATCAAGTCAAAAAACTCAGAAGTGTGCCCTCTCCTGGCGACAGCAGAGTAGTGTCGCTTTCCTTGCAGTAGAAAGCGCCACCAGGGCTTTCGCTAAAACGTGGAAGTGTGAGAGTGGTGTATTATATCGAACATTTATCGAACCTGTCTTATCGCTCTATCGAGGAAAAGTTATATTGCGATACTTATCGTTATCGTTTTATCGCGCAGCCCTACTCAGAACTATCATAAAACAATGAGTGTGTTAACATGCATTTAATAATCTGATCATAATTTGACTTCTGCAGTTATGATTATTCAAATGGTCGTGTAAACAGCACACTCCATACCCTTAGATCGGAGTAAGGTCTAGAAATCCGATTAGGAAATCCAATAAAGAGAGCTGGATTTTAGCACAGTAATCGGATTTCTCAGTGCGTGTAAACTCTTACTCTGATTTCTTTTGGATTTCTCAGTCGGCGGTAGCTGAAATAAGCAAGCAGCATTGCTGCGAGACGCAGCAGAACACTTTTGGAGTGACGCTGAAACCGACTACATGCTTGACGAAATTAAATATTTTTCATCTGCTTGATGATGTATTCATAGTTTCAGGTAAAGCGGCGCAATGTTTTTTTTTTGTTTTTTTTTTTAAACCATGGCATGAAGTTTGAGTGTTATTTTACGTTTATGTCACGTCTTATTCTGTGAGTTTATCACCGGTTGCAAAGCAGAAATCTGATTACTGCCTGAGTCATGTAAACCTGGAGATTCCCATTATCTGAATACTCAAGTGCATGTAAACGCGTTGATCGGATTACTGTCAAAATCTGATTTTCTTTGCAGTTATCGGATTATTAAGTGCATGTAAATGTATGTGAACGCACTCAATGTCTAAGGCATCAGGCAATTTATAACCATTTCACGTTATAGCTTTCTGTAATGTAGTGGCTTCTGTAATGTAATGGAGACATTAAACTCTTCCAACTGATTTTTCACAGTGGTAGTAATAGGAGTCAGTTTTCAATTATTTTAGGCCAAAAGCTTTCAAAAATCCAGCATAAACAATGTCTCAAGCATCAGGTAGAGTCAGTGCATCAGAGTACTGTTCCTCAGCTGCAGTGGTTCTCAACCCAGTCCTCAGGGACCCCCAGACAGTCTATATTTTTGCTCTATCCTTGTGTGGTAAGTTAGGTGGGAGCAAAAATCTGGGCCATCTAGGGGTCCCTGGGGACCAGTTTAGAATGTACATTCGTGATATTGAGAAACACCCAGTGGGAGACACTGTGGTTTAAAACACACTCACTAGGTCACCTAAAGAGACACTGCCAGCTCATGGATGTTCTTACTTTTTCATTACAGGATGATATTCATATCATAACTCACTGATCCTGCAACACAATGAAGCATCCAGACCCAATACCAAGTGAAGCGAGCATCTTCCTGGAAGTGTCTTGGGACAACGGAGCTGCGAGACTTCCGCTCCATTCGTCCATCACCCTCTTTCTGCTGTCCTACACAGAGTGCACGTCCTTCCATGTCTACCTGGTCTCAGATCATGCTGACAGCTTACAGGCCCTGTCAAACATGGTCCCAAAGAGCCTGGATGTGTCTGAGGTGAAGAGAGGAGAAGTGCCGGCCCTGGTTGGAGCGTGCCGTCTCCCTGCCGTGCTGGATGCTGGTGGGGGCTTCTGTAGGGCGGGCCTAGCAGTGGTGCTGAGGCACATCATTCAGAGGACCTGCCAGCTCGAGCCCGGCCGCACAGATGTGGCTTCACTGCTGGGCTTCAAGAACACCTGCCTGAAGGCTTGTGCTGAGGTGAGGATTCCTGCAGGGCTGAGAAAGGGTGCAATGCTCAGAAGGTTGATGTTGATGGGTGTAATTTAATAGATGCTAATCATACATGGCATGAAACATTTGCTGTACTTTCTTTTGTACATATGGGCTGTGTCCATAATATTGGAAACACGTAACAGTATATTAATGTCCAGTGCGTAATAAAGAGTAGGGTCATCTGTTGCTCTCAGAACAGCTTCAGTACTTTTTGGAATGCTGTCTTAAAAGTCCTTAAATTTGTGTCCTGAATGGGATATTGGCCCATAATTTAAGAACAGAAGTCTTTAGTTCTTTGAGTGGTAGAGAAGGTAGTTTTTTTGCTGTTGCACACCAGAACCAGCCTTAAGAGTTCAATGATGTTTGGATCTGGTGGTTGTGGAGGCTTTCGAAATCATTTTAACTGTTTTTAAGTTTGTTTAGCAGTGTGTATGGGGGGCATTATCTTCTTGAAATGAGAGATCATAAGAGGTCCTTCATAATGTGCTATAGCAAGCCTGTGCTGGTAACATCATCCTTTATTTTGTGTCAAAACACAGCAACTTGTTAAACTGGTTATGGTTGCAGGATGTATTTCTTCCCTTTATTTACTATATTGGAATTATATCAAGATTTTTCTTATTATGTTTCTGCCCTAAAACGAATCGCCCAGACCAAACCATAAGTCCTAGAGACATGAAACTTGGTCCATAGATAGTAGTCCCTCCCACTACTCAGGCGCACGACATGAGCCCAATCGGCCTAAAGGGGGCGCCAAAAAAAACTCCCAAACCAAAACTTTTAGAGACAGAATTATTTTTTTTCCTGATTCCTTGGGTCAAAACAAACAACTTTGCCATTTGGACTCTGTCCCCTTATATTTTCTGCAAATTTGCACAATGTTTAGGGTCGCCATCAGTTTTTCACTCAACATGGTGTTGTTCTATCAGTTCATCACTGCGGCCACGGAATTGCTAGCTTGATTTGCTATAACTCATCAGTCTTTGGTCCTATCATCTCAAAACTTAAAATATTTATTACATGTTTTGTGCCTTGGATGGGGTTTGCAATATTTGGTCCAGATTGGCCTTTAGGGGGCGCATTAGCACTCAAAAACACTAAACATTAAAAATGCTATTACATGTTATTACAAGGTCTACAGATAAACAAGAGGTGCCTTGTGATTCAGTTCACTGATCCAAATAACTTTGTAATTACATGTTATGTCAGTAATTTCATTCTCATTGTCTGGTATTTTGGCTTAAATTTGTTTGGCGCACTGTACTTTTCACCACGGTTGCCTATTAGGCATAATTGGGCTGATGAGTGCTTGGACCCGCTCAGTGCCACTTGTGGCTGTATTTTTACCTTGTATTTTTTTCCACAAAGTATTTCCACAGCTTTTCTTCTGGTCATTTAAGCAGACATAAAAACAAGCATGCATATTTGTGGTTGGCGTATTATCATCATTAATTTGCTCACTAAGCTGTATTTAATCTAATAAGGAAGAACCAGTTGCAAATGTTATGCTTTACCTTTCAAGGCCAGTGTGTCTGCCTGATGCTCTTTTTTACAAGACAGTGTTGCCTGAAGTTGTTTGGCTTGATGTCTAATCGAATGAGAACTGAGACATGACAGTGTTTTTACCCCCGAAGCTGTTTCATCTGATGTCTGAAACCTGAAGCATTGACAGATATTTCTATAGACATGATATCTGACATGATATCCCCCAGCACAGCTCAGCAGCCACATTTCTGAAACAATGTCATCTTTGTTATGTACAATAAATGTGGTATTGATGTAGGATAGAAATTAATCCGAGTTCAGTTATCTTCCTGTGTGGGAATACTAATGCTATGGTTTGCATGAAATAATTCAATAACTGTTTTTTTTTTCCTTTTAAACCACCAGTAAATTCGTTTTTACTGTCACTGGGGCTCTTATCATGTTAGAGTGGCTAACCGTCACCAGCAGCAAGCCAACACTATAACATAACTTTATATTCCTTGGTCATTATATGACCAAACAGAGCCTTGACTGGAGCTGCATGCTCCCATTAAGTACTGTTGTGGGTCCACCACCGTGTTCAGTGTTGACAACAGACGTGGTGGATTGACAGCATGCTGACGTGTACTCCTAAGTATCTGTCTGTTCCTGTTAGTGATGTCCGGCGTCACTGAGATTCAATATACGATCACTGTTTCTTTTTGTAGACGCTGTTTGTCTAATTTTGGCCTTAGATAGATGGATAGATGGGTGGATGCCTGGATGTACTCCAATCCCTGAGTGGAAGGTTGTGTACTAATGTAGCAAAATCTGTTGACCAGGAAACACAGTTGCCTCAATTTTTCTCTGATACTAATCACTACAGATTTTCAGGCCTCTTTTACAGCTCACCTATACTGCCGATTTCACTTCAGCCTGTGTTCTGATTCCATTAGGGATGTCCAGATACAGTGTTTTTGCCCTGATCCTGTCCAAGCGGTTTAGTGTTGGTATTGGCTGATCTTTGTGTTTCAATAGATTATACATCCACACAGTTTAGGTGCAGTATGCTAGGCTGCCGAGTAGAGCTGCATGATAAATCATATTTTTATTGTGTTTCTGCAATAAACACATCGTTAGAGCGGCGATGACAAAACAGATCTAATTACTTCATACACGCAGCGCCAGAGAGGCATCATGACATTACCAGCAGAGAACTTGCAGAGAGGAGAATTACTGCTCTGTAATGTCTTCCAGATTTTTCAAACGCTAGAGGGCGCTACCGAACGAGTCCCAAATGAATGGGTTATGATGGAGCATTTGAGTAAAATCATAGTTTATAAATGCTTAAACATTTTGAATGTTCAATGTACAAGAATAAAATCATATCCTGAATACAGAACAGCATAAAACATTTTAACACTGCTGTCATATTTTTAAGGGATTTTGAAAGCGCCTTACGTACTTATGTGACATTAGTGGGCATGAACAGCCAATGAGCTGCTCCGCCCGCCAATCAGCACCCACTAACAGTAATGCCAGCCAAGCAGCACTCACTAGTAGTAATGCCAGCCAATCAGCACTCACTAGCAGTAATACCAGACAATCAGCACTCACTAGCAGTAATGCCAGACAATCAGCACTCACTAGCAGTAATGCCAGCCAATCAGCACTCACTAGCAGTAATGCCAGACAATCAGCACTCACTAGCAGTAATGCCAGCCAATCAGCACTCACTAGCAGTAATGCCAGCCAAGCAACACTCACTAGTAGTAATGCCAGCCAATCAGCACTCACTAGCAGTAATGCCAGCCAAGCAGCACTCACTAGTAGTAATGCCAGCCAATCAGCACTCACTAGCAGTAATGCCAGCCAATCAGCACTCACTAGCAGTAATGCCAAACAATCAGCACTCACTAGCAGTAATGCTAGCGTCCTGCCCAAAACCCATTTTCTGTAGAAAAATACAGGTAAGTTTTTTGTTTTTGCTTTTTAGTGAAATATATCCTTCAACTTTCTAACAAAAGGAAAGTTTTGGGCAAGTAATAAGAAACTATTTTAATTTTTCATTTTTAGCCGTTTAGCTCCATTTACTCCCATTCATTGAGGACTTGCTCACTGGCGCCCTCTGCTGTTTTACTGTCCTGTTTTTGATAAAACGGGGGAAATAGGAAGTGGCCAGGCTCCTCAAAAACCGACTCTGTTACCAGCAGAAACTGTTACAAGCCTGTTACTCTGCGCTGGGACGCAGAGACAAGTAACTTAACCATCCGGCCAAACTAACAAAAACACACACTCGGAGACCTTAAAATATTGTCCCATAACTCAGCCTTAATGGAAATTCAAAGAAAAAAGAGCATGCAGCAAAGGGGGAAACACGCAGCACACATGCCAGCTCAGGCTGTACTGTTTTGCTGCAAGCCTGCTGATCTACTGAAGCTTGCTAGCTTAGGCCCCCACAGTCCTTCAGAATAAGAGTCCCTGACCAACTAAGAACATGTTGCCTAACTATACACAACCAAAAGCATAAACAGCATTATTTTCAAATGAAATACAACCCAGTATGTCTGATGCTATGATATTTAATAACTTAGCAAAAATAAAAAAACTGAAACAAGAATGTGGATTTGTTCTTGTGTCTGTATATAAAAATAAATATACATTTATTTGCTTTTGTAGTCTTTATAGAAAGAGCTGTTGAGGTAATGCTGACTGTTTCTCAGCCCTTCAGTGCACAAATAATGTGCTTGCAATTCTGATGTAAGTAGTTGTTAGTATTTCATTTCTTTTTGTTTTGCAGAATAGTAAATGGTGCTTTTGTAATTTTGTAGTTTGCTGTTGGTTTAAAGAGGGGGTTTAAAGAGAGGTTAGTTAGATTTCGGTTTACACATCCCAAAAAAATGTCTGCACTTGCATTACATCCAGCCAGAGACGCATTACTTTAATAGTAATTTATTGCTTCTCGTATTGTAATCCTGATATCCGACAGCTTTATCGAGCATCAGATTTTATGTCAATAATGTGCAGCCATACTGCTGAGTGATGCTGTGTGTATAATGTGACTGAACTGTTTTGTTTCAGGCCTGCTTTTTTAAGATGACCATTTTATAGTGTGGTGAATATTGCCTTATGATCTAATTTGACTGTCCTGCCTGATGATTTGGCTACAAACCACTTTAAAATTCTGCAGTAAAATCAATTATATACACCTTGAAATGATACCTGCACCATTTCATTATGTTATAATTGCGCTATTGTTACTGTTAACTCTGATTTGGAACCAGAATAGCACAGCTGGCTCATATTACACACACTCACATTTTCCCTGCATATATTTTGAAGAAACATGGGTGGCTTACACTCTGTTTTCTTGGAGTTTCATGTTATTTCCTTCAAATTGGATCAGATCAAGACATCCCTAGTTCCCAGTACTTTTTGTGGACCCCCTTGTATTCAGCTGCAGCTGACTATAGCATTTCTTTGTTCTCTTTCAGGTAAGCCAGTGGACCAGGCTGTGTGAGCTGGGCATCCCCTCTGCAGTGGAGGAGCATTTGCGTAGTCCCACGGAGAAGCACCTCCAGCTGCCTGCTGCCATCCTCCACCTGGAGCAGCGGCTGGGAGAGCCCGTCAGGGTCCACAACGACGACAAGATCCGCCGGCAGAAACTACAGCAGCAGAAGAACAAAAGCTCTGCTCAGTCTGAGGATCCCAACCCAGACAAAAGAGAGAAAACCTTCCCCTCAGAGCCTGAGACACAGGGTCCCAGTGCAGAGGCCCATTCAGCAGAGCCCTATCGAGGAGTTGAGCTGAGTGCTGCTCTTGCCAAACTCAGTGTAGATGCAGCTCCACTGTCATCCGCCAGGGAGCGCTCTGACATCAGGAAAGTGAAGACCACGGAGCTGCCGGAGCTGGAGCATGTCTTTGCGGAGGGGCTTTACTTCACCCTCACTGATGTGGTTCTGCTGCCCTGCATCCATCAGTACCTGGTAAAAGGAAAAAAAAAACCCTTTACTTTGTTGTGCCGTGCTTGGATTATGATTTGTCAGAAAGGGAGCGATGCTTTTATGTGAACCACAGCTTTCTGAGTGTGTGCTGCCTAATGTTGGCCAAATCAAAGGTATTCAAATCCCATGTGTCTCCAGGGCAAATAGTAGGTGCCATCCAGAGTGAGTAACTGATGCGCGCAGCTCAGAGCTGCTTTCAGGTTAGCTTGGGCGAGACGAGCTCTCTGCCACAAAGCTTAAGAAGCTGGCGGCTTCTCTGGGGTGGTCCTGCTGCTTAGTCATGTGTGTCATGTTGGATGCCTTGTGCAGTCTGGTAGCAAAGGTACAACTAGGGGAAGCAAAGCACTGAACAAACAGAGCTTGATACATACTACTGCAACATGGAGAAGACTTGTTATTTACAGTGTTTTTTCAGGTACAGTTTGTAGGACTGTGTGAAATATAGTTTGGCCTGTGGTTATGCCTGTTTTATGAAAAATAGAGGTGCACTGATATCAGTGTTGGTTGGGGGCAGATGCTGGCACTGCATTGCCTTGCTGCTATTATAATGTGGTATACTGATACCATTAAGTCAAACTAATTTCATGATGCACTGGATTGAAATATCATCATGGGCAGCAGTGGCAGTGCTAGGCTTCTACACAAGTTGGGGCAAAGCTTGGTACTGGGCCCCCCAGCACAACACGTTTTGGTGCAGTGGTTGCGGCTGGAAGTGTGTTTTTTTTTTTTTTTTGGAGGAATGCCTTTCTGATGCTTGAATAACAACTTTTTATTAAAATAATACATATATTATTATAATACAAAATAATCTAGTCTTTAATAGTCTAACAAATGTAGGCAGCAAGCTATACTAAGGCCCAATCCCATTTCATCTCTTGCCCCTACCACTTAGCCCTCAGCCCTCCGTTTTGTGCGTTCACGATCTAGGGTTAGGGTGTCCTGATTTTTGTTGAGATAGAGGGGTAGGGTGAAGTGTTAGGGCTACATGGCCCTCCAAACGGAGGTTTTTCAGAGGCACGCTCCAAAAGGAGTGTTATGGGAAAAAAAAAGAAAAAGAGGTGGCTGCACAAGTAACCAAAGACACCTACAAATGTAAGTATTTAACCATTGTATTATCTTAGTTTAATGTTGTGTCGTTTCAGTGTATTATGGCCCGTTTCTCTATAAAAGGATAAAAAATCGCTAGTATGCTAATGTCTCGGTAGCTAGGTAGCTAACTTTCATGTTCCACCTTAAATGCTGCAGCAGTTCTGACTCCTGAGGTGCCAGAAGTGGACGAACAGCTGATTTTAGCTTCATATCACTGAAGAATTTGGGGTGGGCGATATTAAATAATTGTCTTATGCCCCCTCTTTGAAGGCATGTGATTCTCTAAATTAACTAAAGCCCATCAGCGAGGTTGCTGAACTTTACCCTCCTCTGCTGTCACTGCAGACTGGCAGGGTCGCCTACAGAGCAGCGCTAGTAGCCTGTTAATGAAGCAAATGTTCTTTATTTGAGGGTCCCATTTTGTAGAGGAAGATTTCAACCAGTACCCCTTGTAACTCAGTTCCAAGGGTCAATGTGACACTCAAAACAAGGGGTAGGGGTAAAAATAAGAAATGGGATTGGGCCTAATAACACAGGACAATTCAAAAAGATTCATCCAATTTCAAAGTGCATATTTTACATATTTCACACACCAATTGAAAGAGGGGGGTCAAAGAGTTTCTGACTGTCACCGGAAGATGGCTCCCTTCAGTCTGCGAGGAGATGGAGACCCCTGAGCAGAAAGCGTTTTGATATTCTCAACTTCAGTAAGAGTGAACAACACTGGATGATCTCCAAAATTGCATTGAAAGAGCCGTGAGTGCAGTGAACTACAGGCCTGTAAAAATGCATCAAACATTAAGATTGTTCTCACACCCAGTATTGTGTTTCAACGTGTGTGAGGCGGTAAAAGCTGCTGCCACAATAAACATATTTAATAACTGAAAATAAAAACCAAAAAATCAAATGTTTATTTATTCTTGTGTGCCTAATATAAGAAATAAATATTTGTATTTCTTTGTTTTTGTGGCTTTTATAGCAAAAGCTGTTGAGGTAAATATAGATATTAGATATTCGTTCGATTTGTGTTTACACATCCAAAAATGTCTGTGCTTGCTTCACATCCAGTCAGAGGCACAACATTTTAATAATAATTTCTCACTTCTTGTATCGTCATGGTGATATCTGACAGCTTTATCGAACATCGCATTTTATGGTCACATGGTGCAGACCTACCGGACAGGTAGAATTTGTGATGAGAGTTATGTAATTGCAATTTTTCATCTTCCTTGTTGTTTCCTACCTTCCTGGTACCTCTCATTTTGTTAATATATCTGTGATATCACCAGCCTGGGGGGCTTTATGGAAAACTAGTTCTCAAAAATATGTAAAATCAGCCTGTGTACCTTTTGTAGACAATCATCTCACACCTCCAGGCTGAGAACCACTGGTTTATAACACTGTGAGCTTTTGGGGATGCTTGTTATTAGAGTGCCCACTTATGGATTTAGGGTGTATAACGTTGTCTTAGAAAAATGGTATTTGCTGTTGTCTTCTTGAAAAAGGATGTATTTTAAATATGAGTATTTTCGGTTATTTGACAAACAACTAACCTCCGTCAGAATCACAAACTGTGTGATATGCTGTTAGCTCTAAAAATGAATAAAACAACAGCACATTGCAGAAAACAGTAGAAGCAGCCGTCTTACAGCCTGAATTATGTCTACTATATTTGAGGTCTGGGGTCGGTTGGAGGGGGGAATTGTGTAAACTAGGTTTTTGGCACACATTGACCAAACTTTGATCAGTTTCCACTGTGGAACAATTGATTTGCATCTGTTACGAGTGCTGGGTCGTATGTGCAGTTGTGAGGAATGTAGGTCGTGGACAGACAGCAGGTGCTGTGAGTGTTAAAATGGCTGTATTGTAGCGCTTCCCTCAGGCGCAGAGAACCGGAGTCAGCACTGCAGGAACCCACTGAAAAACACTCAACCAGAGAAGGTGTTCCACCCCCCTCCTCTCTCTTTGTCAGTCTCTCTCTCTCTCTTTCTCTGTCTGTCTCTCTCTCTTCTCTCTCTCTCTCTCTCTCTCTTTGTCAGTCTCTCTCTCTCTCTCCCTTTCTCTTTCTCTCTCTTTCCCTTTCTCTCTCTTCGCTCAGTCTCTCCTCTCGCTCATATTCTTTCTATTTCTTGTTTCATTTCTCTCATTTTCTATCTGTTTTCTCTCTTGCTGTCTTGTTTCTCTCGTGTTTCTTTCTCTTTTTCTCTTTCTCTTCTCTTACTTGCTCTCTTTTTTTCTGGCTTTGTCATCTTTCTCTTTCTCTCTCTTTTTTTCACCTCTTTCTGTATCACATCTTTCTCTTTTTCTCTTGTTTCTTTTTCTCTCTTGTTTTTCTCTTTTTTCTTTTTCTTTTTCACTTCTCTAATTTTCTCTCTCTGTCATCTTCTCTTTTCTCTCTCTCTTTATTGTTTCTTTTTCTCTCTTTTGATCCTATCATGGCTTTGTCTTTTTTCTCGTTTCTTTTTTCTCTGTCCTTTTTCTCTCTTTCATTCTCTTTTCTCTCTCTTTCTCTAGCTTCTGTCTCTCTTTTTTCTTTCTTCTCTTTCTTTTTCTCTTTTACCTCTTTCTCTTGTCTCTCTTGCTTTCTCTTTTTTCTGTCTCTGTCTCTCTGTCATCTTCCTATCTCTCTCTTCCTTCGTCCTTTCTTCGTTTTCCTCTGTTTCTTTGTTTCGTTTTCTCTCTTGTTTCATGCTGCCTTTCTGTCTCTCTTTCTCCATTTCATTTTGTCTCGCTCTCTTTCTCTCTTTCTGTCCTCCTTTTCTTTCTCTCTTTCAATCTGTTTTCTCTATTTCTGTATACCTTTTGTTTTACTTTCTCTTTTCTTTTTTCCCTCTTTTCTTTATCTCTGTCCTCTCTCTCTCTCTCTCTCTCTCTCTCTCTCTCTCTCTCTCTCTCTCTCTCTCTGTCTATCTCTCTCTTGCTCTCTCACTCTTCCTCTTTGTCTCTCTCTCTCCTTTCACTCTCTTTCACATTCTCTTTCTTGTTTAGTTTCTCTTTTTCTGTCTTTTTTCTCTCTTGCCATCTTCTTTCTCTCTCTCTTGTTTATTTCTCTCACTTGCTCTGTCTTCTCTCTCTGTCATCTTTCTTTTTCTCTTTTTTCCTCTTTTTGTTTCTATCACCTCTTTCTCTAGCTTCTGTTTCTCCTGTTTTTCTTTCTCTTTCTCGCTCTCTCCCTTTTCTTTCCCTCTTTTGTTTCTTTCTCTTCTTTTTCTCTTTTTCTCTTCTCTCTGTCATCCATCTCTTTCTCTCTCTATTGTTTGTCTTTTCTCTTTTTTGTTCTCATCACCAATCTCTCTTGTTTCTTTTTTCTGTTTTTCTCTCTTTCATTCTCTTTCTCTTGCTCCCTCTTGTTTCTCTCTGTCTCTCTCACTCTCTTTTTCCTTTTTTCTCTCTTGTTTCTTTCTCTCTTCTACCTCTTTCACTTCTCTCTCTTGCTTTGTCTCTCTGTCGTCTCATGCCTTTTTTTTTCTTTCTTTCTCTTTTGTGTCTCGTTCTGTCTTTTGTTTTTCTCTTTTGTTTTTCCTCGTTTTTCTCTTTCTGTCTTTTTCTCTTTTTCTCTTCTCTCTCTTGCTCTGTCTTCTTTCTCTCTTGTTTCTTTTTGTTTTGCCTTTCTGTGTCTCTCATCTCGTCTCTCTCTCCTCTTTTTCAATTCAATTCAATTTTCAATTCAAGGTGCTTTATTGGCATGAAAAATATTAATATTATTAAATAATATTCGTGTGTGTGTGTGTGTGTGTATGAGACACTCACTTTTTCTTTCTCTCTCTCAATCTGTCTGTTCTCTATCTCTGTATCCCTTTTATTTCACTTTCTCTTTTCTCTTGTTTTCCTTCTTATCTTTATCTCTGTCCTCTTTGTCCTCCTCTCTCTCTCTCTCTCTCTCTCTCCTCTTTCCCTCCATCCTCTGTCTCTCTCTCTTCTCTTTCCCTCCATCCTCTCTCTCTCTCTCTGTTTCTAACAGCAGGGCTTCATCGACACACGATTTTCTACACTGTCTAGCGTGTCTCCTCTCTCCACGCTGGCAGACTCTTAGCTCTGCGTCCTTTCTTTCTCCTCCCTCTCTTCCTCTGCTGGGAGAGAAGGAGGGTGACGAAAGGTGCAGCAGTGCGTTGGAGACGCTGTGTTCAGTTCAGTGGAGATGACACCCTGATGGGTTACTTAAATCCCTCTGTGAATTGTTCCACATCCACGTCTCTCTTAGTAGACCTTCATTCTGACTCCATTTAGAATGCAGTTCTGTTTCTGAAAAGCACAGTTGAGTGTTTACCGTCTCACTATAACAGCCTGTTTACCTTTTTCCATTAAATATAATGGAGCTTTTTTTAGCAGTGGGCGATATGGCAAAAATATAACATCACAGTACTTACACAATACAATACGCATCACAGTGTTCAGTTTTTGTGAGGTTTGATAAGTTAGAACAGACAAAATGAACCAGTAGAGCCATGATTTTAAAAATACTAATACAGTGACTTTTATTCGATGTGTCACATATTGTGCTGCACTACATTCAGTAAAACAGGAATAATTCTGCTCTCTTTGTTATAAAACATGGTGATTAATGATAATGATACCCATAGTGATGAATTATGTGATATCATTTTGCATTTTGCCCTACACAAGTTCTCTTTGCTGATCCAGTGATTTAGATAAGCTGTGTTTTAAGATAAGGTTTTTACTTTCTAGCAGTTCTCAGAAGTAGCAGAGTTAAAATAAGCACCCCCCCCCACCTCAGATGTAGTCAATCAGCCAAGACATGCTTGGTGAATGACGTTTTGTACTGGAGCTACAAGGCTAATGTAGTGATGGAAGCGTATACTCCATCAGTCCATCATGCTAAGTGCATAGTGAAATCAGCAAACATTCGCCTTCTCTGTAGAGTTATTAAGTGATCTCAAACACTTGCTTATGTGCTTTCTGAAGCTGTATGGTGTCCAAAAGTGGTGTAAAGTTGGACAAAAGTTTGGGCATCAACATGGTTATGACTACTGTTTTAATCGCCGTGTGACATGCATTTTGTTCATATTTATAGATAACAGATTCTTGCGTTTTGCATGACGTCACACTGTATAGTTGCTGCCGTTTTGAGGAGTGAATCAGGGAGTGACTGCGAAGTGTGATGCCTTCAGTTTGCTGTGTTTTGTGAATGATTCACCTGCAAGACGTGACAGAAGCGGAGAATGACAAGAGACCACACAGACCTTTAATTCAGTGTTTTCTCACTTCAGGCTTGGAGCCCTGCACTGTATAGTTTAGTGTGTTTCTCTGCTGTTTACACCTCATTCAGCTCAATATCAGGTATTTTAACCAGGGAAACCACAATTACGCAGTGCAGGGGTTGCAGGCCTGGAGCTGGGAACTCTGCACTAACTGCACTAGCAAACTGACAAAATCACGTCTGTCGAAACACAACGTAGTTTTCTGACCCACAACATTCAGTCTGATATTTAACGTTTATGTTTCACCATTCAGACATCATTTAAATCTCCAGAAACAGAGAAGTAAAACTACACCCGGCCGTTTACAGCTCTGTTAGCGGGGCGACTGTTTATCTCTCGGCTGTTAACATTAGCAAAAGTTAGCATTGCTCTCATCTGTGTTAATTAGCTGATGTGGCCTTACCCTCCTATGATGACAGAGAGGTTTTTCTCCTCTTTATGCAACACCATGGGATCCTTTACCCACCCTGACATGAAGAGTCGGTGGGCTTCTGTGCTTTTAAATGCTTTGAGAGACTCTCTGAAATAGGGAGAGGGGCTGTGTATCAGATAAATATAAATGTCAGGAAAACACAAATTTCGTGGCTTTTTCACCAGTTTAAGTAGGACCAGGAGTTCAGGGGGAAACTGTTTAAGGATCGCAGCCTATTTTAACGACTTTGCAGAGGTAACTTTTTTTTCTGTTCCAATGTAAGATGATTCATTTTAGCCATCTTTCACCTCTAGTTACGTTCGTGCAGAGCAGCGAAGCCAGAAATTTGGGCCCAAATATGGCGGCTACAACAGAAAGATCTCTATGTGAGATTACTTTACAATTAAACACAGTTTAAGGCAAGCGTGTGCTGATTTATGCATACAGCTTGCACAATGCTAATTGGTAAATAAGCATTCATTACTTAGCTCCATGAGTCTCATGTCTCCAGTGCAAAACTAAACTTCGCACATTAAACATGTCTTGGCTGATGAACTACTTTTGGGGTTAGTAAATTTTGTAAATTAGATTTTTCTCTGGACCGTTCCTGTAATAAATGATGGTTATGTTGTTGGTTTGTTTCAGTCCTCTCTGCAGCAGCATGCTCCTCATGCTCTGACCTTTCTGCCTCTGCTCCTGCGCTGGTTCCAGCGGGTGCAGGAGCTCCCTGGGGTCTGCCGTGCCGCTGAGGATTGTGGGATGGCTCTGTTCAGCCCTCAGGTGTCTGGGTCCTGCTCCCACCAACCCAAATCTCCCCAAACCAGTGAAGCGGAGCAGGAAAAGTCCAGACCCTCGCAAGAGCATTTTGTAGGAGGCCCTAGACCAACACTTTCCAAACTCCAGGTAATTAAAATTTACCTTTTCTTGTTTCTAATGATGGAATTTCTGGGCCCAGAGGTTGCACTTGTGTTGTAGTCAAAGCTATCAGAGACCAAGTCCAAGTCATGACCAAAACCTGGACACAACGAGACTTTGTTTTTTGACTCCAGTCAAGTAGAAAAGGGGAAAATCTGGAATTTGTTTGCAGTTCGTTGTACATTCATACTAATTCATTATACATTGCTTATATTAATAAATAATGTTATATTTCATATATTGTGTTGAATGTAGATGTAGATGTATTAGAATGTAGCTGCAAGCGGCAATCATCGGGGTCCAAGCACTAAGCCCGATGAGGCTTTATGAGGCTCTGATTTAGAATTTTGTCAGTTTAGGAAAAAAGGGCTAAAATGTAAAATGTTGCTCTGTAGCACTACGCAATGAGGCCAATTGTAGTAATTTCATGTGCCTGAGTAGTGGGTCACCTACCCTCCAAATTTAAGTCTTTCGATGACTTATGGTGTCTGCCCCACAATGGTGTTTTAGTGCAGCAAAAAAGCTTTAAGGAGAAAAAATTTAGCAATTCCAAGAGGGTTCCAGCACATATGGTGCTTGGAACGATAATAATTTATAGATCAAATTGTCATTAATTATTTTTACATTATAATTTTTGGAAACAAATGATGGTGAGGTTATTCTGTTTTTTCTTCTCTAGAACTTGTCCAGAAGTCATCTCATAAAGTCAAGGGAATATTAAAAAATGGCATACATCCTTTTTTATCATTAAATAAAAACATAGCAATAATAAAATTACTCTTCTGCCTGCAGGCAGTGTATGAATTTTAGAACCTCTGAACGTCACCAAACAAATGACAGCCAGTTAATTAATGGAGAGGATCGATTAGATTCTCAACCAGCAGCAAGCAGATTTTATTTAAACATGTCATTCTGTTTGAAGGTATTGTTGATATTCAGTAAGGATAGAAAAGTGGTTTCTAGATACCTTACACAGAGGAATTCACACTATAATCTATATATGACATGCATTTCAAGTGAAACTCTAAAGTAGAGATGCCATTGATCCAATACCCGGTTATCAGTATTGGGCTGATATCACTAGAAAATGCTGGACTGGTTATTGGAGGGAAAAACAAGAACGAATCTGATTCAGTTCTGTAACAAATCTATCCTGAAATGGCAAACACTCACACTGCGTGATGTTATTGTTAGCTGTGTATTTCATCCTGTGGAGTAGTGGAGTGTTTGAGTAGTTTGAGCATTTTAAAAGTAATTTTAACTTACTTTTAGATGCTGATCTTAAAGGGCCCACATCCTACATTTCGTTTTTTCCTTTGAGGTTCACTTGTAATATTTGCATGGTTTTATGTACTAAAAATGCTCTTAATTCATATATAAGTGAACATTTTCCAACTTCACTTCATCCCTTAGAATTAAACAGGCTGTTTTTATTACTGTGCCTTCAAGACTGATACAAACTAAATGAGCTCTGTTCTAATTGACTTACATTTTGCCTTATATGAAAAGCGCTCAGAGCTGAAAACTTGTCCAAGTACTCCAGTCTTCCATGCGTAGGATGATGGTATTATCCATTATGCTATAATTTTGAGTAAGCTGAAAGGAATGGAAACATCTAACAACTATACATGCATCAGCGCTCTCTTCAGACAAATGGGGTGCTAAATTTTCAGTTGTCCCATTTATCATTGAATAATATCAGCTGCCAATATTTTGTGCATCCCTATTTTGTCCCATACCTTCTTTCTTTGTATTCTTGTCTTCCTCTCGCTTTTATATATACACACACTCAGAATGAGAGATTACACATGCTGTGTGCCGCGCCGCTTCTCTTTGCCGCTCCACTAAACCTGTCAGGGGCAAGCGAGGCTCATTCTAAGCAGCGATCTCCTGGCCGTTGCACTCTCTTTATGGCTGCCTGCTCTGCAGAAGCAGCCTTCAGCCACAGCCAGAATGGATTTATGCCCTCCAGTGGGCCGCAAACACTGGCCACACGTGCTATAACTCTGCTGCCGCTATCCAAGCTAATACGGCTCCCTGCGCTTTATACTTAAAGGATGCAGCTCATGCTTAACTGAATTAGGCCATATATTCTGGGATAAGTGCTGTTATATGGCTCAGTGGCTGAAAGGTGACAGGGAAGTCCACCCATTTTAGTCAATAGCTACAGAGCAGCATTTGCAACAGGTCATGGCATTTTGCTTTCCCTGGTGTTAATGCATCTGGAAGTGGATGCATTATTTGAAGGCAAGCTTCTCCCAGATACTTTTTGTACTATCTGATGGTTATTTGCCTTTTTTATGTGATTATTTTGCATGGATGTAAGCAGTAGGATTGAAGTGCTTGCAAAGGGTCATTTCCCTTTTTTGTTTCAGAAATGTGTAGACCAGTTGTTATTATTATGGTTATTAGAGCAGGGTTTGTTGTCCTAGGAAGCATTATCAACAAAAAATGCCAAGTTGACTACTCTTATTTAGGCCTGCCCCAAGGGACGGTTGACTGAGTTGCCATGGTGACAGCCCCAAGTGATGAAATTCATTCTATTTCATTCATTTCATTTTATTTCAGAATGAAGATGGAAGAGGAATGGGAAAAAAGTCATTTATTTATTGATTTATTTATTGATTTATTTAATGCAAACCACAGCAGCCTGTGTTGCTGTATTATAGTTAAAGGGCGAGTGGGTCATGTTAAGCAGTGGCATAACTCTCCAGGGTTTTGCTCCATCATCAGGAGTTTGTTGGTTCAGATACTAGCGGTACTGTGAGTAAAAAAGGTGAATTACCAGCCGATACTGATAATACTGTGGGTTGATTATATCAGTCAATATTATGAGCCAACCAATGTATCAGTCAGGCCCTACTAAAATGTAATGAAACTGTATTCCCCACCAGTTAATGTCAACCATAAATAAATTATTGCACGCTTGCTTGATGGCAAATTGACTATAGTATTCCTGTAGTATTCCCAAATGTGAACATAACAGAACTTTGTTGGATGATTAATTGCTCAGCATAAATTAGTTTGCTCTCATACAATTGGAAATTGGTTGAAATGATCTTGGACAAAAAGGGCATCAGGCAAAGCAGCCACAGACACCACTGCCTTGGACAGTAAAGTTCTTCTGGCTTTCTCAGTTCTGTTATTGCTTACCACAGTCTTAAAAATGATGGTTCTTCAAGGGTTCTTTAATAAAGAAAATGGTTCTATATAGTTTCATGGCCCAAGTATCATGATATTGCATGGTGTGGCCTCTAGTGACCAGTACTTACATTTACTTGAATTTCTTGTTTCAAACCTGTAACACAAGCTTTTAGCTTTGAACTTTGATTTGTTATTAAAAGTAAGACTTCGGACTGCTCCTCAAAATCACCCCATTCTACATTCTAAGTGACAGCCGAAAAGTCATTTTTATCCCTATTGTGTAATGTGACCTTGAGTCCGCCAGTGGCGGACCAGGCTGTGGATTGTCCGCTTCGAGCACAGGGCATTGCAGTTCAGCCTCAAAGCAGTAAAAGGTGTAAATTTTTTAATAAATGGCTCCAGCAGCCGTAGAGCTTTTTCCCCTTGAGCGTGTCGGCTCAGCAGTGCTTTTACTGGAAAAGTCTTAAACCTAGTATGTATTTATAAGTGAATGAATGACATGATTTTCCTGCAGCCTTTTCAGTTCTGTAGGCCTCTTTAATCCTCTTTCAGAGAGACTGACTGCTGATATTTGAATATGCGCTTCTCCTCCTGTCATATTCCTCTTCCACGTCTTGTCTAATGTGGATCTGGTTGAAAAGCCTTTGCGAGTTAAATGTTCCCCCTGAGCTATTTCACTCATCTAAGTGTTGTTTACACATACTCAGATCGATGCCTCACCGTGTGTGGTTTTTGAGAGAGGTAGGTTTACACTAGCTTAAAGCGATTGCTCGGAGAAAAAGTGTGCAGTTTTACCATCAGTGCAGTTGGTCGTTGATCAGACGAGATGTTTGGTGTCTGAGGTTTGCTTCTTTAGGCTACGTTCAGGTTACAAGCCTCATTGCTCAAATCCGATCTGTCTGACACGATGGTTCACACTCGTTTAGGTAAGTGATTCAAATCTGTCATAAATGTGAACGAACCGGCGTCCTGAAATGACCCAAAAAATCAGATTTGAGCAATGAAGCTTGTAATGTGAATGTAGCCTAAGTTGCAAGGAACAGTCTTAAGTCTTCACACTCAAGTACCAATTCAAGTCCCAAGTCAAGACAGTAGAGTCTCAATTCAAGGCCTGAGCCAGTGAAGGTGAGTCTCAGGTCCCAAGTCAGTAGTCCTAATCTTTGAGTCCTAAACAAGTCAGAATACATTCTTGAGTTAATTTAAGGCTAATTTAATAACACTGAATAAAGTTAACAGCACTATAGCCTTTACCACTCCAACTAAATTGCAAAATCAGTGGTACACAGGTAACCGTGACTGACATACTGTTTACACAAAGAGTAGTCCAACTACACATGTAAAGAATTTTAACAGTACTATTAAACATATATATTTGAAGAAATCGTATGCTAACAAGTAGGGTCCAACCGATATGTGAATTTTGTGGCCAATACAGATTTTTAAGAGGGTAAAATTTCAATAACATCAGCCAATTTAATTGTATTTTAAATTTACATTTTAAAGTTTAATTTTTAACTCTAATAGTATTAGTTAAACAGTGCTTTACTGACTTGATTGTCAGTAGAGGCGGGCGATATGGCAAAAATATAATATTGTGATACTTGTATTATATTTTTATATTATACATGATCCACCTCAATGATGAGAGATTGATGTCCAAAACATTTTTCCTAAAAAGATCATTTAAAAACTGTGTTTCTATTTCCTTCTGTTTTCCTTGTATTACATCTTTTGTGGGGATCTGATATCCTGTAGTACAATCTGTAAATACTTTTTACAGTGGTGTCAGGCTTGTGTGATGTTGATTTTCCCCTGGATGCAATTTCTAATTTGAAAAACCTGGA